TGTGTGAGAAAGAGAGAGAGAGAGAGAGAGAGAGAGAGAGAGAGGGAGGGGGGATTGAAGGGTGGGAGGGGGGCTGGTCGTGGGGATGGGCTGATGGTGGTAAGAGGGCAGCAGGGATGGGGAGAAGGGAGCGTAACGAGGGGAGAGCAAAGGGCAGGGGGGGAGGAAGGGAGGGGCAGGGAGGGAAGAGGTGAACGTACAAAGGGGGGAAACGAGGGGCATGGATGATAGGAAACGAGGGCAGGGGTGTGGGAAATCAAGGGCAGGGAGGAGAGAAGCAATGGGTGAGGGGAAAAACAAGGGAGGGGCAGACGGGGGGCAGGGAGGGAAGAAACGTGGGGCAGGGAGGGGAGAAGCCAAAGACAGGGGCATGGGCAGGCGGGGGCAGGGAGGGAGCAAAGGAGAGGCACGGGAGAAAGAAAGGGAGGCGCGGGGAGGGGAGAACCGGGCGTGGGGGGGGCGGAAAATGAGGGGCAGGGCGGGGAGGAGGGAGGGGCAGGGAGGGAGAAGCTGAGCACACGGAGGGGGGAAAGGTGAGGCAGGGAGGTAGGAAGCCAAGGACAAGGGGGGGGGAGAGTGGGGGGGGCAGGGAGAGGGGGAGGGGGGAGCGGGGAGAAAGGCGGCGAGGGGCAGGGAGGGGGAGAAACCAAGCATAGGGGGGCGAGATACGAGGGGCAGGGTGCGGATTGAGGAGGGGCAGGGAGTGGAGTGGGTCGGCGAGGGGAAGGAAGAGGCGTGCAGCAGAGGAGGGGAGGGGGGAGGAGAAGGTAAAGGAGGGGAGCGCACGGGCGGGGAGGAGCGAATGCGGGCGGTGGGAAACGGCGAGGGGGGGCAGGGAGGGTCAAAAGAGGCGGCAAGGGAGCGGGCACGCGGAGGGTAGGGCGGGGGGAGCGGATGGCATGAGGGGGCAGGGGGTGTGACTATGAAGGGGGGGACCCGGGCAAGGGGTGTGTAGCGCGTCGGGGCACGAGGTTGACGTGGTACGATCATACCTCGGCTACTACGCCGGATCCCATCAGAACTCCGAAGCTAAGCGCCGGTGGGCGAGAGCAGTTATTCATTAATAAGGGAAGAGCAAATACAAGCCGAAATAATGGTTTTTTCCAAGACTAGGAAATTTCGACATAGCCTAAGCGCTATGAGGACGATTATATATTTTGTAGGAAAAGGGGGAAAGAAAGGAAAGGAAGGAAAGATGAAGGAGTAAGAAGAAGTGGTAGGGAAAGGAAGAGGGTGGTAGGAAGAGAAGGGAAGGATAGAAGAAGGGAACAGAAAGAGGGAGGTGGGAAGAGAAGAGGAGAGAGAGAGAGAGACTAAGGAGGAGGAAGCACCAAAGGACCAAACACGGCAGCAACCCGCACGACCGCACGGGCACAGCGTTTCAAGCACAGCCACTATTGTTTTTTTACACATATGCATCATATATATACTGCATATCAGCCACACTCTCGAAGCACCCTGTGACGTGGTGCCAAGTTCCCTGCCCCGCACCCAGTGGGACTGGTGCGGGCATCCACCCGTCGTCGGATCCCCCTAACTGCCGCACCGCATGCTGGATCATGCATTGAGCCTGCGCGCGCTGCAGTGCAACGGAGAGGCGTGTAGTGAGTCCTGCCTCAAATATCCGTGCCGATCCGTCATCCCCCCCACCTCTATCCCTCCTCCGCTGTGCTATCCTCTTTGCGCAGAGCCCCAGAAACTGACGCAGCGGCTCACTCAGAAGGCCAAAGGTCTCCGCCACGCACGCGTAAAAGTGTGGTGCCGGCTGCAGCCCCTCTAAGTGCGGCCCCCAGTGCCTCAGCTTCTCCTGCACTCGTCTAGCTGCTGCCACTCCAATCTGTGTGGGGGTTCGCCCGTCTCAGCTGCACGTTCCCCTCCCGCTGTGGATCCGCTATGGAGACATCCACAAGAACCATCAGACCCTGGCCAACGTCGCGGCAGGTGAGGTCTGGGATGCGGGAGGCGGTGCCTACACGGCCTGTGCGTCCGACTGGTCCCTGCTGTTGCGCTGGCTGCTGCCCTGTCTGGTCCCTTGGTGCCTCCTCTCCAATCGTCTCTCTCCCCTCTCCTCTCCTCCATCCACCTGTCCTCTCCCCTCCCCCTCTCTACCCTCCCCCAACCCTCCCGACCCCCCTGCTCCATCCCCTGCTGCCTCTCTCACTCCCTGGCCCTCCCCTCCCAATCCCGCTGCCCCTCCTGTACCTCCGTCCGCTCTCTGCTGCTCCCGCCCCTGCCCCACCCCCGAGGCCGAACCTGGAGGCGCGGCGCCCTGGGCCCGCGGCCTCCCCTGGCTCTCCTGCTGCTGCCTGTGCCGTCTCCCCTCTCCGTCCTGGCCCGTCTGCTCCCCCTGCCGACCCCCTCTGCCCCCCTATCCCTCGCTCCACCTGACCCCGCAGCTGGTGCTGTCCCCACTGTCCCCCGCCACCCGGCGATCCCGCCTCGCCTCTCTGCTCCCCCGGTCCCTCCGCCCGCGTCCCCTCTCCCACCACTGGCTATCCCAGTAGTCTCGCTCGAGCTGCCTCCAACTGTGTGAACAGCGTAGAGTCCTCCACCTTTACCGCGAAGCCCGCCTCGACCGCAAAGTCTCGAAGCATGTACTTCACCGTGTCGTGGATGGTAGTGGCGACCCCGTAGCGCGGGCACCGAACCGCGTGATGAGGCACCGTCATGTCGTCAATCGCCTGTCCGCAGGAGCACTGACCTGCAAGGGCTAACTGGGGGATAGGGAGACCGAGACGAGAAGATGAAGCCGCCTGCCACAGCGCCTCCGGGATGCGCAGTGGGTCAGCGTACGGCACCGACGTCAACCACGCCCCTGCACCTCCGCCCTGAAGGGAAGTCAAACGGGCAAGGTGCAAGGGAGAGGCGTGACGGGCACGCACGGCCTCCAAGGCATGCGCCTCCAGAAGACGGCTCGCTCCTGCAAAAAGGGAATCGGGGGAGGCAGAAGCGCAAGAGGGCCAGGGGGGAAGGAGAGAGAGAACGTCGGGTGGGAGACCCTCTAGCGCCATCTGCAGAGCCCGGTCGATCTGCTCTGGCTCACCTGAAGCGAAGCTCCGCCGAAACACCTCGCCACACGCAGGGAGAGAACAGAGAATGGGAGCACACTGCACCCAGGAGCACACGAAACTCACCGGGGCGATGCGTGCCATGCGACGAATGCCGAAACCCCCGAGACGGATGGGGAGGAAGATCTGGTCTAGGGCGGCCTCTCGGACGTCCTCGCGACAAGCCCAGGTCCCTGAAGCTAAAAGCTGCTGAAATGTCTCTCCCAGGCGTGCGTCCCACCGTGTAAAACTAGAGATCACTGCGGGCGAAGGAGGGACGGTCCTCGACAGGTACTGCGGACGAGTGCTGACACACGCCGACAGAAGGCGGGCAGCTGTCTGGGGCTGGCGCAACCTCGGAAGCCAAGGTAGCACCCGCCCCATCCTCTCGAGACGATCCGGGAGACTCTGCTCCACGAACGAAACGGTGCCTACCGGTACGCCTGTCACGGTGAGCCCTCGGCGTGCGACCTCGATCCCTAGGCCGTGAAGGCCTCCAGATCCCTGGACAGAAAGGACTCTGTCTGGTAGACGAGGCACTTGTGCGGCTGGGCTGCAAGGCCCATCTCGCCCAAGCGCCTCACGATCTCGGCAAAGTGGTGCAGCACCCTGTCTGGGGGACCTAGCACGTACGTGTCATCGGCGTACGACCAGAGCTGGTACATCCCCCTCCACCAGAAACCGGCTCCAAAGCAAGACGCTTGTGTCAGAGCGTACAAGAAGGGGCTGAGAGGGTCTCCCTGGCGAGTGCCCCGCTCCGAGTGCATCGTGACCACTCCCGTGCCTGACCTGTAGTGGAGATCCGAGGGCGTCCCGTAGAAGAGGCCGATGAAGGGGATCAGGCACTGAAACTCCGGGCTGGCCTGCAACGCTTGGAACATCCGGTCTCGGTGGAGGAGTTAAAGGCATTCGCCACGTCTAGCTGCAGGACCACCCAGTCTGGGTGGTCAGCCAGAGCGCGGCGGACGCCTCTAACTACGACCTCTGTCCCGCACGTAACCCCCACCCCAAACTGCTGTGACGCCAAGAAGACCCTCGCCATCTGGTCACGTAGCTGGAGACAGACTGCACGAGAAAGAATGCGGACCAAAACCTCGCCGATGGCAATCGGTCGAACATCCATGTTCGACTTCGCCAGAGCCACGAGGGTGGAAGACGCTAGCAAGGAGCGCGTAGCTGGAGCGCAACGGCCTCGGAGCCACTGCTGGTACACGGCCAGGAGGAAATGGAGACTCTGAGGGAAAGCTAGGAAAGTGTCTCGTAGGTGCTCAGCGACCCCAACCGGACGGTCCTCCCGAAGAGCCCCGCGGAGCTGTGAAAATCGCGCGGCGTAAGTGATCCACCGAGAGCACGAGAGGGGACCCCTGGAAGCTAGACTGCCAAGCTGGGGTCGGCCTCTCCGCGTTGGGGTGCTTCGACTGCAGGCGCTGTATCGTCCCCTGTGTATCTGGGGCTGCCTCCGCGGACTCGAGAGCCGCGCACGCCCGTGAGGTCTCATTGCACGCTGCCAGACGAAGACAACGTGCAATGCGGCGCTCATCTGCTGTAGAGGGATCGGTGGCGGTGCGTGACCGGTGACCTGTGCGCCGAGGAAGGGGTGTGCGACGGCCTAGTGCATCTGAGACTAGCTCAGCCCACTCACCTCGACCAAAGCGGGAGATGCGCGTTGCAATGGCAGCCGTGTGCGAGCGGTCGGGTGGCGTCGCTGGAACAAGGAAAAGAGTCGGCGCTGCAGCGAGGAGGAAGGTAGGGCCAGCAGCCTCCGGGTCCTGGGCAATGCGGACTAGGATCGCACTGAGGACGTCGAGATATCCTCCGCGGACCCTCTCCGGGACACGTCGGAGAGGGCGTGCATGGATACGCTCGGGCGAGAAGTACTCTGTCCAGTCCACCGAGTCGAGCGTCTGCCACTGTGCGTCGGTGAACTGTATCCCGGTCGCACGGGGCTGTGAGAGGGAAGGGATGATCGAGGCGGTGTCCTGGGCAGCCTGCGCCCTGCGAGCCGCGTCCGCAGGATGGCAGAAGGGAATGTGGTGCTGGAGCGCGCGTCGGTTCGCGAGAGAGCTCCTGCAGGTGGGGCAACTCACGACCTGGTCGGGTGATGTCGCCGTGTCGGCGGGGTCAATCGGGGCCGTGGCGTCGGAACTGGCTGTAGAGGGGACCCCGTGGGCGGCCTGAGCTCCGAGAGGATCGCCTGGGATGAGGGGAGGAGACGACTCACCAGCCCCGTGCATGGGGGGTGTCAGCGAAGATAGAGGTGGTGTCGCACAGGATAGGGCCGGGCCTCGTACCGGTACCGGTGTCGAAGCTGGGGAGGGGGGACGTGGAGGTGAGCCTGAAGTGTGTGCCGTGGTGTGCTCCTGCCCCTCGGCGGGGTGCGGTTCAAGTGACGGCTCTGCTACCCCAGGCGGAGGGGTCTCGGTAGGGGCGGATGCCTCATCCCTACTGCTGGTGACCTCCTGCGCCACGGGGTGAACGGGGGGAGGCGCCACCCCATCTAGGTGCGCGTGACACGGCCTCAGAACCTGGTCCGTCTCCATTGGGGTCGGGAGTGACGCGCCTGGCTGAGTGGCGGGGGGGAGAAAAGAAGGGACAGACCGGGTGACCTCCGCATACGTCCGGGTCCGGTCCTGTGGGACTGGAAGGGTGGGGGCAGCCGGAGAGCTGCTCGGGCGGTGTATCGCCAGCAAATCTGAAATGCCAGCCCTCACCTTCTCTGGGGTCTCGAAGACCTGCCTGCCTGTAGGTGAGAGTAGGAGGGCTGGCAGGGTAGAGGGTGGGTGGGGCTTGCTGGCTGAGCGGAGCTCGGGTGTGGACCCTGCCCTAGAAGGCCCCCTTGGCCCTCCCCAATCACCATGGGTTGCGGTAGGGGGTCGTCGACATGGAAGGGGTGGGAGGGATGGGAGGGGGAGTCGGTGGCGTCTTCCATGGGCGCATCCCTCAACCCGACGGCCTCCATCCCAGTAGCGATCGCGGCCGCCGCCACCTGGGAGGGGGACACAGCACGAGAGGGGCAGAATGGGGGTGAGTGGGCTGGTCCGCTCCCATGGCCCTGTGGAGGTGCAGGAGCGGGGCGGGAGTGTAGGTTTGGTGGTCGGGCTGTAGAGGTAGGGCCTGGTAAGGGTTCAACGGGATGCGGGGTGGGGAGGGGCTCTTGGTGGGGGAGGGAGGGAGGGGGGAGTACGTGGGCTGACCCTCTGCCTCCTCTGCCCCTGTTCTTCCGCCGGCGGCCAACCTGGTTGTCCGCGCCTGTTTGTGAAGGAAGGGGGGGCTGTGGGGCCAAAGGGGTGGGTGGAGGGAGGATGGGTGGTTCGCCAGGCGGGGGGTGCTCTGTGTGCATCCCCTCTCTCCTCGAAACATCCCGCTCCGTGGGAACAGATCGGGCGGGCTGTGTGTAGGGGGTGATGGCTGCCCAACGGGGCCACTCGTGGGGAACCCGGCCGGGAGGGGGGGTTGGAGGTGGGGGTCGAGGGGCTGGGCCAGTGTGGAGGTTAGAGCGAGGTACAAGCGGTGGGGGGAGAGAGATTTGTGTGGGCTCTGTGGTGGCCTCTCCTGTGGGCCCCTCTACCCGGGTGCCGCCGCTCCCATGAGCCTGGGGCGCAAGCCCTTGTGGGTGGGTCTCGGCTGCCTGGGGGGGGTGGTGTGAGGGGGGCAGCCTGTTGGGTGGGCGTGTTGGGGCTGTGCGGCGACTCGGGTGGTTTGGGTGCCTGTAGCGTGTGGGAGAGGGATTTGGCCGCAGAGATGCTTCAACCTCCGAGATGTGTGTACTACCGGGTGGGGGGGGGGCCTGGTGGAGGGGGGGGTAGTGGGCCGGTAGGGGGTGGCTGGGTGTTGGTAGGAGTCGGGGAGCATGGCTCCTCTAGGAAGGCCAGAGCCCTGGCTGCTCCACGTGGTGCTCTAAGGAGCCCCTGAGGGTGGGGGCAGAGGTGTGCTGCCCTTGGGGGTGAGGGAAGGAGTGAGGGAAGGGGCGGGGAGGGGTGAGAGGTGAGAGAAGGGGTGCCCTCGGGTGACTCTGCTCTTGTCGCACCCGCGTGCTCTCCCGGTGGACCGCCTGCAACCGTGGGGTCAGGGGTTGGGGACGGAGAGGGGGGCTGGCCATGGAGCAACGTGGGGGTCGGGGAGCACGGCTCCGCCAAGAAGGCCAGGGCCTTGGCTGCCCCCCTGGATACTACCGGGACCTGAGGGTGGGGGTGGGGAAGTGGTGCTCTTGGGGGTGGGTGGGCTGGAGGACGGGAGGTGAGGATGGGGGCTCCCTCGTGCGGCTCTGTCCTCAAGGTCTCCCCCAGCCCCTCCATCGGTCCTTCTGCTAGCATGGGGACGGGCATGGGGGGTAGAGGGGGAACCTCGACGTGAGGCTGCAGGGGGGCCGGGTCGGCCTCACCGTCAGGCGTGAGGTATTGGGCCAGTGGCCCGTCAATGTGCATCACATCCTCTCCCTCATCCTCCTCTATCGCTATCACATCCCCCTCTTCAGTGCCCACCCCGGTCGGGACCACACTCACCTCTCCTTCCCCTGTTGCCCCTATGTCCTCCGAGCCCACCCCGCCTGCTGCCGCTTTACTGCTAGCCCCTTTTGCAGTCTCTGCCGGCCCTGCTGTGTGTTTCCCCGCGTTTGCTGCGGCCCCTGCCGCCCCTACTGGCCGTGCTATGGCCCTCCCTGCTGCTTCAGCTACAGCCTCACCTTCTACCTTTGAGGCCACTGTTGTCCCTTCTCCCACTCTAGCCCCTGCCGTACCCTCTCTTGCTACAGCCGGGGCAGCACTCTCCCTCGCACCAGTCCCCGTTACCCCCTTCCCCGCTGCCCCCGTAGCACCTCCCCCTGTACCGGCCCCCGCTGTGGCCTCTGTCGCACCTGCTGCAGTCCTTGCAGCCTCGACTGCCGCGATCCCTGCAGCCTTGCCTGCTGCGGTCCCTGCAGCCTCACGTGCTGCAGTCCCTGCAGCCTCACCTGCTGCAGTCCCTGCGGCCTCGCCTGCTGCCGTCTGTGCAGCCTCACCTGCTAGAATCTGCTCAACCTCACATGCTGCGGCCTCTGCAGCCTCACCTGCTGCGGCTATTTCAGCCTCACCTGCTGCGCTCCCTGCGGCCTCACCTGCCCTGGTCCCGCCTGCAGCCTCATCCGCTGTGGTCCCTGTAGCCTCACCTGCTGCAGTCCCTGCGGCCTCACCTGTTGCAGTCCCTGCGACCTCACCAGCTGTAGACTGTGCAGCCTCACCTGCTAGAGTCTGCCCAACCTTACATGATGCAGCCCTAGCAGCCTCACCTGCTGCGTGGGCCACAGCCTCACCTGCTGCGGCCCCTGCAGCCCCGCCTGCTGCGCTCCCTGCAGCCTCGCCTGCTGCGCTCCCTGCAGCCTCGCCTGCTGCGCTCCCTGCGGCCTCACCTGCTGCGCTCTCTGCAGCCTCACCTGCTGCGCTCCCTACAGCCTCACCTGCTGCGCTCCCTGCAGCCTCACCTACTGCGCTCCCTGCGGCTTCACCTGCCATGGTCCCTCCTGCAGCCTCACCCGTTGTGATCCCTGCAGCCACACCTGCTGTGGTCTGTGCGGCCTCGCCTGGTGCGGTCCCTATAGCCTCCTCTGCTGCGGTTCCCCCAGCCGACACAGCAGCAGGTTCCGTGGCCCCTACTCCTGCCAGACCTGTCTCCATGGCCTCTGCCCTTTGCCTGGCCAGAGTCACGGTCCCTGCCGCCCCTTCCCGTGCAGCCTCTGCCGCCCTTTCCCGTGCAGCCGCTGCTGCCCCTTCCCTTGCAGCCTCTGCTGCCCTTTCCTCTGCAACCTCTGCTGCCCCTTCCCCCACAACCCCCATTGCCCCTTCCCGTGCAGCCTTTGCTGCCCCACCCTCTGCAGCCTCTGCTGCTCCTTCGCACACACATTCACTTACCCCTTCCCGTGCAGTGTTAGCTGCAAGTTCCCCCCTGGCTCTGCCCCCTCCCGCTTCTGTGTGCTTGGGGGTGCTAGTAGGATTAAGTGTTTTCACAAGTAATCTGGTTTGCGAATGGGAGGTAGCGAGTGAGTTGGGGGATCTCTCCACTTGGCATGCATGGGTACCGTCCCCGCTGTCACCTGAAGGGGGGGTAGGCTGGGATGGGGCCGCGGGGGTAGGGCGCGGTTTTGAGCGTGCTGGCTCCTCCTTGTGTATTTCCTCCAGTGGGGCTTGGCGTTCCTCTGTTCCATCCTCTTCAAGGGTACGCTTCTGGCCCCTAGGGTCAGATTGTGTGAGTGTGTTCGCTTGGTCAGGTGTGTGTTGTTTCTTCCTGACTGTTGAAGTGGGGGGAGTGGGAGAGTAGGGGGCGGCTCGGCTGCGGGACCTCCCAGATCGCCGAGGGGCTCCCGGGTCTGCCTTTTCCCCACTCGCGGGGTGCTGGGGCATTGTTACAGAGGCAGCATGCCTGGCGGTGGCGGTGTGAGTTGCTGGAGTTGGCTCAAGAGGGCGTCAAAGGGGGAAGGAACTCCCTGGCAGAGGCCGGGGTGCGGGGGGTTGGCTTGGGGAAATGGAAAAAGGGTGGGGAAAGCGGTGCGCAGTGGGGGGAAGAGAGGGTAGAGGGGGCCTGACGGTTGGAGGGGATTGGGGCCCAAGGGGGGGGGCGGGCTGGGGGCCGGTTGAGAGGGGAAGTGTTGGCGGGCTGTAGTGGAGGTGGGGGGGCGGGGGTGATGTAGTGGTGGGCGAGCAGAGTGTGGGGACAGGTGGTGGGCCAGAGGTGGGGAGGGCAGGGCAGAATTCCACGGGAGGTGGGGGTGGGCAGGTGGAGCCAAGTGGGGAAGGAAGGGTGGGGAACAGAGAGGAAGGGGCAAAGGGTAGTGGGTAGTCGAGTTGGCGTGAGCCTGGTAGCGGGTAATGAGAAGGTTGGAAGGCGGGGGGTGAGAACGTGGGAGGGCCGAGAGGGCACCGAAAGGAGGCGCTGTGGTAAATGCAGAAAAATATGTGGGGCCGGGAAGCAGGGGACAGAGGGAATCGGGGAATTGATGAAGGGTGATACCTGCGGATGGGCGAGCCCCAGGGGGGAGGAAATATGGAGGGTGTTGGAGAAGGGGGAGACTGGGGGGGGTTGGGGTAGGGTGTTGGAAGGCACAAGGGGCAGGAACAGGGGGTGCAGAGGTTGGTTGGGGGAGGGAGAGGCGGTCTGGTGCCGCGGAAGGGCGGACGGAGGTTGGGGACGGCACAGCACAGGGAGCAAAAGCAAGGGGTGTAGACCCTGGCTGGGGGTAGGACCGGCAGTGTGGAGTTAGGGAGAGGTAGAGGGAGGCTGGGGTAGGTGGCTGGATTGCGCAGGGAGCAGGGGCAGGAGGTGTAGAGATTGGATGGGGGTGGGAAAGGCGGCGTGGTGTCAGGTGGCGGCAGTTGGGTCCTCGAAGGGCCTGGCAGGGCAGGATGCAGGGGTGCAGCCCACACTGGATGCGGAAGTAGCTGGGGGGGAAAGGAAGGCTGGAGGGGGAGGTACGGCTCGTAGAGGTGTGGGGGGCAGAGTGGGAGTGGGGAAGGTAGGAGGGGGGGTGGAGGAGGGACGTTGTGGACAGGGGAGTGGGGGAACATGCGGGTGATGATAGGGAGAAGCCGGGGGAGGGAGAAGGGGGAGGTGGTATGACGTGGGCGAGGGTGACGCACGGGCAGAGCGCGGCGGTACTAAGGGCAGGGAGACGGGGGGCTGGGGGGAGAAAGGCCTGCTTGGGGGCGTGGTGGGGGATAAGGGGAGAGGGGCGGTAATGCTGGTGGGCAAAAGGGGAGGGTGTGGTGTAGTATGATGAAACAGAATGGGGGGGGTGGCGGACTGGATGGGGCCCTGGAGGGTTGGGAGAACAAGGTGTAAGCTGCCTTTCTGATTTTTCCTGGTTTTTTTCGGATTTATATGAATTTCTTTTTCTTTTCTTTTTTTTCCTTGAAGTTGTTTCCTCTTATTTCCTACGGTTTCCAGAAACAGGGCGGCCTCTGCTAGCTAAGCGCCGTTAGGGAAAGAGGTTAGGTGGCGGGGTGGCTAAAGCGCGCGTGTGAGGGGGAAAGGGGCGGTGTGAGCAGGGAGGTGACTATGTGGGTGGCGACGGGGTAAGGTTACGACGTGTGGGTGGCATGCACGAGTGCGCGACGAGGCATGGCAGGGTGGGGGTGAGCAAAAGGGGAGTGGGGCGGCTTGTGTGCCAAACGTGGGCGGCTAAAACGCTCTAGGCAGAAAACGCGCTTCGGGAGGCGCGCAAGGGGAGGGCCGCTTAATCGCTACGAACGTAGCAATTTCGCCTCCCTCCGCGCTGCCTTTCCCTGGCGGTAAGCGCCCCGCGCGGTTCCGTCTACGTCGCGGCTAGATTGAACAGGCGGGGAAAACGAGTGCGTGACTAAACATGATAGGCGACGAGAAAGCGTGCTTGGAAACGCGCGGCTCTTCGAATTAGGGTTTCGACAATGAAGGGCGCACCGAAAGGGAAGGAAGAGTGCTAACTACGGGCGGAAGCTAAGCTCAGTGACTTCGAGAGAGGGAAACCGCGGGAAAAAACTCGGTATTTGCTAATCACTTCGAATGGAAAAGCCGTGAGCAGAAAAGAGCGGGGGGATAAGGGAGAGTGTCGAGAGAGGGGATGGGCGGGAACACCGTGTCTGGCGGAGTTGTGGTTGTGAGTCGCGCGCGCTGTTACACTCCGCGGGCGAACTTCGCGTCCACGCCCCACCTCCCGTTACACCGGCTGCAGCGCGTCCGCAGCGATCCCGCGATGGCGGGGTCGAACAAACGGTTCCGTAACACCCCGCGAGTTCCGTTTCCGAGACTCCTGAGGGTCGCGCGCGAAACTCGCGACCCCCGTCCCGTCGAACTCGACAGTCGAAACTAAAAAACTAACCGTTGGAAACGCTTATAACTATAACATAAACAACTATCACAATCACTTTGTCCTTAAGCAACTCGAAATAGTAGGTTTAGGAGGCTCCTTAGTAGGCAGCCATGGCTAGGTAAGCTAGGTCAAGGTAAGAGCGCCGGTGGGCGAGAGCAGTACTGGGCTGGGTGACCTCCCGGGAAGTCCTCATGTTGTACCCATTTATGCCCCTTGCTCGGCACGTGCCGGGGGAGGGGCAAGCGGGAAAAAGAAAGGACGATTTTAGCGCGTCCGATTCTTTTCTTTTCGTTTTTTTGCCCAAACAACGACCCAGCGGGGTGGGGGGCCCCCGGGGAGGCTTGCCCATGCGAAGAAACGCCCCGTGCGCACCACCGTTGGGCGGTTGGAAGCCGCACACGGTCGCGGGGGGTGGAGAGCGGAAACGGGCAGCCGGGGGAGGGTGGGGGCGGTTGGATGGGACTTGGGGTGTACGGGGGGCAGGGGAGTTGAGGGGGCAAGGGGAGGGGCAGCAACGGGCAGGGGCTGGGCCAACTGAGGGCACGGAAAAGGGGCGGGCAGAGGGTGAGCAGAGGGGCGAGCGATGCAAGGGTGGCACCATAGGGGGGAAACCAGTTGCACGGAGGTGGGAGGTGAGGGGCGTGCGAGGGGGTGGGAAAGGGGCAGGGAGGGGCAGAATGGGAGGATGTAGGTGGGGGGGGGGTGGGGGAGGGGAGTGTGCGTGTGTGTGTGTGTGAGAAAGAGAGAGAGAGAGAGAGAGAGAGAGAGAGAGAGAGAGAGGGAGGGGGGGATTGAAGGGTGGGAGGGGGGCTGGTCGTGGGGATGGGCTGATGGTGGTAAGAGGGCAGCAGGGATGGGGAGAAGGGAGCGTAACGAGGGGAGAGCAAAGGGCAGGGGGGGAGGAAGGGAGGGGCAGGGAGGGAAGAGGCTGAACGTACAAAGGGGGGAAACGAGGGGCATGGATGATAGGAAACGAGGGCAGGGGTGTGGGAAATCAAGGGCAGGGAGGAGAGAAGCAATGGGTGAGGGGAAAACAAGGGAGGGGCAGACGGGGGGCAGGGAGGGAAGAAACGTGGGGCAGGGAGGGGAGAAGCCAAAGACAGGGGCATGGGCAGGCGGGGGCAGGGAGGGAGCAAAGGAGAGGCACGGAGAAAGAAAGGGAGGCGCGGGGAGGGGAGAAACCGGGCGTGGGGGGGGGGGGGGCGGAAAATGAGGGGCAGGGCGGGGAGGAGGGAGGGGCAGGGAGGGGAGAAGCTGAGCACACGGAGGGGGGAAAGGTGAGGCAGGGAGGTAGGAAGCCAAGGACAAGGGGGGGGGAGAGTGGGGGGGGCAGGGAGAGGGGGGAGGTGGGGAGCGGGGAAAGGCGGCGAGGGGCAGGGAGGGGAGAAACCAAGCATAGGGGGGCGAGATACGAGGGGCAGGGTGCGGATTGAGGAGGGGCAGGGAGTGGAGTGGGTCGGCGAGGGGAAGGAAGAGGCGTGCAGCAGAGGAGGGGAGGGGGGAGGAGAAGGTAAAGGAGGGGAGCGCACGGGCGGGGAGGAGCGAATGGCGGGCGGTGGGAAACGGCGAGGGGGGGCAGGGAGGGTCAAAAGAGGCGGCAAGGGAGCGGGCACGCGGAGGGTAGGGGCGGGGGGAGCGGATGGCATGAGGGGGCAGGGGGTGTGACTATGAAGGGGGGGACCCGGGCAAGGGGTGTGTAGCGGTCGGGGCACGAGGTTGACGTGGTACGATCATACCTCGGCTACTACGCCGGATCCCATCAGAACTCCGAAGCTAAGCGCCGGTGGGCGAGAGCAGTTATTCATTAATAGGGGAAGAGCAAATACAAGCCGAATATAATGGTTTTTCCAAAACTAGGAAATTTCGACATAGCCTTATCGCTATGGGGACGGTATATATATTTTGTAGGAAAAGGGGGAAAGAAAGGAAAGGAAGGAAGGATGAAGGAGTAAGAAGAGGTGGTAGGGAGAAGAAGAGGGTGGTAGGAAGAGAAGGGAAGGACAGGAGAAGGGAACAGAAAGAGGGAGGTGGGGAGAGAAGAGGAGAGAGGGAGAGAGACTAAGGAGGAGGAAGCACCAAAGGACCACAACACGGCAGCAACCCGCACGACCGCACGGGCACAGCGTTTGAAGCACAGCCGCTTTTTTTTTTTTTTTTTTTTTTTTTTTTTTTTTACACATATGCATCATATATATACTGCATATCAGCCACACTCTCAAAGCACCCTGTGACGTGGTGCCAAGTACCCTGCCCCGCACCCAGTGGGACTGGTGCGGGCATCCACCCGTCGTCGGATCCCCCTAACTGCCGCACCGCATGCTGGATCATGCATTGAGCCTGCGCGCGCTGCAGTGCAACGGAGAGGCGTGTAGTGAGTCCTGCCTCAAATATCCGTGCCGATCCGTCATCCCCCCCACCTCTATCCCTCCTCCGCTGTGCTATCCTCTTTGCGCAGAGCCCCAGAAACTCACGTAGCGGCTCACTCAGAAGGCCAAAGGTCTCCGCCACGCACGCGTAAAAGTGTGGTGCCGGCTGCAGCCCCTCTAAGTGCGGCCCCCAGTGCCGCAGCTTCTCCTGCACCCGCCTAGCTGCTGCCACTCCAATCTGTGTGGGGGTCGCCCGTCTCAGCTGCACGTTCCCCTCCCGCTGTGGATCCGCTATGGAGACATCCACAAGAACCATCAGACCCTGGCCAACGTCGCGGCAGGTGAGGTCTGGGATGCGGGAGGCGGTGCCTACACGGCCTGTGCGTCCGACTGGTCCCTGCTGTTGCGCTGGCTGCTGCCCTGTCTGGTCCCTTGGTGCCTCCTCTCCGATCGTCTCTCTCCCCCTCTCCTCTCCTCCATCCACCTGTCCTCTCCCCTCCCCCTCTCTACCCTCCCCCAACCCTCCCGACCCCCCTGCTCCATCCCCTGCTGCCTCTCTCACTCCCTGGCCCTCCCCTCCCAATCCCGCTGCCCCTCCTGTACCTCCGTCCGCTCTCTGCTGCTCCCGCCCCTGCCCCTCCTCCGAGGCCGAACCTGGAGGCGCGGCGCCCTGGGCCCGCGGCCTCCCCTGGCTCTCCTGCTGCTGCCTGTGCCGTCTCCCCTCCCCGTCCTGGCCCGTCTGCTCCCCCTGCCGTCCCCTCCGCCCACCTATCCCTCGCTCCACCTGACCCCGCAGCTGGTGCTGTCCCCACTGTCCCCCGCCACCCGGCTGTCCCGCCTCGCCTCTCTGCTCCCCCGGTCCCTCAGCCCGCGTCCCCTCTCCCACCACTGGCTGTCCCAGTAGTCTCGCTCGAGCCGCCTCCAACTGTGTGAACAGCATAGAGTCCTCCACCTTTACCGCGAAGCCCGCCTCGACCGCAAAGTCTCGAAGCATGTACTTCACCGTGTCGTGGATGGTAGTGGCGACCCCGTAGCGCGGGCACCGAACCGCGTGATGAGGCACCGTCATGTCGTCAATCGCCTGTCCGCAGGAGCACTGACCTGCAAGGGCTAACTGGGGGATAGGGAGACCGAGACGAGAAGATGCAGCCGCCTGCCACAGCGCCTCCGGGATGCGCAGTGGGTCAGCGTACGGCACCGACGTTGTTATAGTCACAGTAGGCTCCAATGTGCCTAAAACGAAAGATAGAGTGCAAAGTCGGATTTCTGCACAGCGGCTTCAAACGTTCATAGCGTTCTGGTGACAGCTTCAAATGACTTGATTCAACTTGGATCTGGAGCGTCTTATTGTCGCCTACAATAGGCAATTTAGATCGCACGATTTGACCAAGTATTGACGACACAGTGTTGGTTTGAACGAACGGCACTATGGCAGCCACTCTAGTCTTAGAACACAAAATAGGAAGAGATCTGAAGAGTTACGAGTTGGGAATGACTCCCAGCTCCTACAAACCCCAAGAGCCGAGGTACAGTGATGTGGAACAGTGCCACACTGTCCCCAACCACGAAGGGTCTCGAAACTACCCTTCACTAGGGCCTACACCAAGTGAAATGTTACACTACACAAAGTAATGTAACTATCTTCAATATCTTGAGGTGTACCCTTTTGGCGAGCTTTGAAATCACTTGAGGCTTGACACCAAGGCTCGGGCTCTTCATCACAAACTCATCCTTGAGTTCTTGATGGGTCTGCTGCACACACCTGCGACACACCGAACGTTCGACACAGGACAAAATAGAAACCGCGCACGACAAAATAGAAACCGCGCGCGAGACACAAACGACCGCGTAACACGCGTCTAGCGATAACTCGCTATTGACCCGACACATACACTCGACATCATGACTCAACATTCACACACAATTATAAGCATGAAATATATATTATCCCATGCCCTCATACCATTCCATACACACACACACATGCACGCACATGGACAACAAGCCGAGTGCAAACCATAGGTTTGCACCAACAAACTCCCCCTCGGATTGTTGGCCCTTCGGATATGTTGCTCTCTCAGTTCAGAGCCATCCCAGCCAGCTTGCAACACTTCCAATGCTGCTGCTCCACCAGCCTCTTGGTCATCATGTCAGCCGGCTGCCCCGTGGTTTTCACGTAGCGCAACTCAACTTCACCCGCGGTTACCATGCTCCTCGTCCAATGCCACTTCACCCTCATGTGCTTCGTGAGTGCATGCAACACAGGGTTCTTAGCAAGAGCAATGGCACCCTGGCTGTCACAATATAGTGGGGTAGGTCCTTGCTGCTCCTCCCCCAATTCAGCCAACAAACGCCGCTGCCACACAATCTCCCGTACGGCACGGAAGAGTGCCATGTACTCGGACTCCACTGAGCTCAAAGCTTGGTCAACCTGCTTCTTGCTCTCCCAAGCAGTTGGGCCTCCACCAACACAGCATATGAAGCCTCCCACACTTGTCATGTCCTCTGGTTCTGATGCATATGAAGCATCCGAGTAGGCGGTGAGGAACAAACGCCCGGGTTCAACACCATCCGCGCCCTTTTGGCGCCTTTGTGCCGCCGCCGAGTATTGCAGCCCAACGGTCGGTGTTTGGCCAAGGTACTTGGCCACCCTCATTCCAGCTGCTACCTGCTCCTCATTAGGGCATTGCACAACCCTAGCCAGCTGCCCGGTAGCAAACGCGACGTCCGGTCGGGTGTTTACCGCCGCATACATGAGGCTGCCCACCAACGAGTGAAATCGGCGCCTCTCCTCTTCTCCAACGCTCTCCTCCTCTGGCCCCTTCACACACTTGAACCCAGAGGGAAAGGGAGTAGCCACATGACCTTCACTCTGGCCAAAGTTGGCAGCCAACGCCTCCAGGTACTTCCGTTGGTGCACTCGCATGCTCCGCTTCTCCACGTCTCGTTCGATGTGGAGCCCAAGGTAGAAGTTCACGTCACCAAGGGACTTGCACTTGAACTTGTCATGCAGCTTCAGCATCACCTCCTTCACAAGGTCAGAGGAGGGTGAGAATATGAGAATGTCATCCACATAAACCACCATGAAGCTCCTCTGTTCCCCCTCGCCAAGCATGAACAAGGAGTGATCGGCCGTTGAGGGAGTGAAGCCGATCTCCTCCAACACTTCGCGCAGCTTCATGTACCATTGCCTAGGGGCCTGCTTCAGCCCATAGAGGGCCTTCTTCAGCTTCCACACTCTGCCACTACCATCATCAAACCCCTCTGGCTGCGCCATAAAAATCTCCTCCTCAAGGATGCCGTTGAGGAATGCCGTCACAATGTCCATTTGCTTCACCACCCATCCTTTGATGGCGGCTCCCGCGAATAGGGTTCGCAGCGTCGTCGGCTTCACCACAGGGGCAAACAGCTCCTTGAAGTCCACCTTCTCCTTCTGCTGGTACCCCTTGGCTACAAGCCTGGACTTGTAACGCTCGATCTTGCCGTCGGCATCCGACTTGATTTTGAAGAGCCACTTGGACGTTATCGCCGTACGCCCCTCCGGTAGCTCCACCAATTCAAACGTGTCATTCTCCTCGATGCTCTTCAGCTCACTCTCCATGGCCTTCTTCCACTCCTCAGCATCACTACTCTCCAAAGCCTCCTTGAGAGTTGCTGGTTCTCCTGGCATCTCCACCGGAGAGAAGAACGCGAAGGCACACTCCTCGTAGTCACTCTCCTCGTCGTCTCCGACCATCATTGCCGCTCCGGCCAGGGCTGTCTTGCCTTGCTTTCCAAGTGCATCATAGGTCAGCCTATTAGGGGGTTGAACTCTCCTCTTCCCCCTTCCTTCCTCCTCAGCTGCAGGGACTTGAAGGCCTTGGCGTTGCTGGGGTGTGGCTCGATTCCGTGGAGCACTCGTGGTACGGGAAGGGAGTGACGGTGCACGCTCGCTCACTTGCTGCACCTCCTCCTCTTCTTCCTCTGCATCAGTGGCCTCCTCTCCCCCATGCACAAGGGAGGATTGCCTCGTGGTTGTGCTGCCGCTGCTCAGCTCCACAGGCAGCTCCACATGCTCCAAACCGGAACTCTTCACCTCCCCAAACCGCACGCCTATCTTCGCCTCATTCTCCGCCTTCCAATCCTTGTACATGAAGTTCTCCATGAACTTGCAGTCCCTGCTCACCAAGAACTTCTTGGTGAATGGGTCCCAAAGAAGCCATCCCTTGCTGTTTTGAGCCATGCCCAAGTGCACGGCCCACACCGCCTTGGCACCAAGCTTGTTGTGCCGAAGATGCTTAGGCACAAGCGCCATGCACATGCACCCGAACACCCGAAGCATATCCACCTTTGGCTTCCTTCCTAGCCACTCCACATAGGGCACCCATTTGTCTGCTCCCACATGAGTCAAGGCTCTGTTCTTGGCCACACATGCGCTCCGCACCGCATCAGGCCAGAAATAGTCGGGTAGCCCGGCTTCAATGAGCAACCCGCGTGCCGCCTCCGTGATTGTGCGGTTCGCTCGCTCAGCGATGCCGTTCATTGCAGGGGAGTATGGCATGGTGAGGGAGTGCCGAATACCATTCTTCTTCAGCCACAACCCAAACTCCTTGCTCAGGAACTCTCCCCCTCGATCGGTGCGGATTGACTTGACTAGACGGTCTTGTTGCCGCTCCACCATCGGGAACCAATCCGCCTTCAACGTTTCAGCCACGTCGCTCTTCTTGGCCAGCACGTACACCCAAGTCATACGGGTGTAGACGTCCACAATAGTGAGGAAGTACTCAGCTCCAGCAGCTCCAAGCTTCAGGGGGCCCACCACGTCCATCACCACCTCATCAAGTGGTGCCTTAGCCGTTGCCTCCGAACTAGAGAATGGGAAACGGGTGAACTTGGCTTGCATGCACGTCGGGCAGCCAAGTACCTCATCGGGCTCCCCCTTCACACGTATGCCAGCAACCATCTCATTCTTCACTAGCTGCTGCAAGATGGGCAGGGCCACATGCCCCATGCGCCGATGCAAGGTGAGCCAATCACACTCCCCCGTAGCCGAAGTTGGATTGGAGAATGCCGCGCTCGCAATAGCGCCCCACATACTCTCTCCGTAGTCCTCCTCCGCTGTTGCCTCGGGGTTCTCCTCACCCTTTTGCTGCTCCTTGGTTGCTGCACCACTCTCCTTAGGTTCACTGAACTTGCTGGTCCCTCCAAGATTGCACTTCTTGGACTCCTTCTCCTTAGCGCGACCGTCCGCGCAATCGCCGCTACCAATCGCTCCACCTTTAGTGCTGACGCTTGCTGCCACTTGCCTCTCCTTAGGCATTGGGACCACAGGGATCTGCCACATCTCGTTGTAGACATCTCTGTCCTCATGAAGGTCCCAAAGAATCCGATCGCCAAGCTTTGCGGTGTAGGTCTTGGCTCCCTTCGAGTTAGTGTCCATGCCGGCCTTTGCCAACCGCCGCACGGAAATCAGGTTCGCAGCAAGGCTGGGCACCCAAAGCACGTTCTTGAGGCCCACCATCTTCCCATCAGCACCCTTGAACATGGCCTTCCCCATGCCTTTCACCTCTGCTCGCTGCCCCAAAGCCGATGTGACATGCTTCACCGGTGACGGCTCGAGTTCGGTGAGCAAGTCCGGGCGAGGTGTCATGCTATAGGTAGCGCCACTATCAATCACCCAATAGTCCAGGGGGTGTAGGGTCACCTTCCCCACAGCTGCTGGCTCCTCAAAGCCTTCATCCTTCTCTGGACCAGCCGGTACTTGCGTCGACACGAAGTAGAATAGACCCGGGTATCGATCGTCGCTCGGGTCCTTGTCGTTGTCTCCGCTCTTCATGTTTGCAGCTCCGCCACCGCGACCGCCACGGCCTCCACGGCCTCGTCCTCTCCCTCCTCCTGCTCCTCTACCCTCTTGGCCTTGAGCAGGGGTCCAACCATCAGGGAGTTTGTAGCAGTCGCGCCACATGTGTCCGCTCTTGTGGCAATAGTGACACTCGCCGTCGAATCGGCCGCGACCGCGTCCGTAGCTCTTGTCGTCGCTGCCGTAACCGCCACTCCTGCGGCCTCCGCCGAAGTTGCTGCCACCAAACCTTCCTCCCCCTCGTCCTCTGCCTCTTCCTCGACCATATCCACGGCCGATGCTCGCTGCCCCAGCGCCATCCGCACTCGCCAACTCACGGCGGCGGAAATCCTCTTGAAGGATAGCTCGCTTCACGTCTTCAAGCGAGAGGCGGGGCAAGTCGCGATTAAGGTTGATGATGAGCGAGGACCATGACTCCGGGAGTAGGGCCAGCAACTTGGTCTTCTTTTGGAGCTCACTATAGTTCAAATCAGCTCCCTCAAGCCGCGTCAACAAGTCGAAGAATTTCTGCACCCCTTCTTCAACCGCTTCATCCTCTTCAATTCGTAACGTCGCCATTTGCCGTTCCAACACCACAGCTACCGCCGCTGTTGCAGGAGCGTGTACACCCTTGAGAGCAGCCCATGCTTTTGGTCCCTTCTCTGGTTCACGCTGGAAAGGCTTGATGTGACGGATTTGGCTGCTCCCCAACGCTTGCCCAAGTAGGAGGTAGCCTTGTGCGCTCTTCCGCACCCACGGGCTCTTCTCCGGGTCGTTCTCGGGACGCTTCTCCGTTCCTTCCATCACCTCCAGCAGGTCATAGTGGTCAAATATGTTCTCCATTCTGAAGGACCACTCAGCAAAGTTGTCACCATTGAACTTGTCAAGGCCAAACACTCTAGGCTCATCCCTAGATGGGCCAACACTTGGTTGCACGGGCGCCATGGCTGAGTCACGGGGTTGGCCTTGAGCTTGGGCTTCTCCTCTGCCACCAGCACCTCTGCCACCCCTTTCCTCAGGTCCAGCCATTGTCGAAACTGCTCCAAGGGGCTCTGATACCACTTGTTATAGTCACAGTAGGCTCCAATGTGCCTAAAACGAAAGATAGAGTGCACAGTCGGATTTCTGCACAGCGGCTTCAAACGTTCATAGCGTTCTGGTGACAGCTTCAAATGACTTGATTCAACTTGGATCTGGAGCGTCTTATTGTCGCCTACAATAGGCAATTTAGATCGCACGATTTGACCAAGTATTGACGACACAGTGTTGGTTTGAACGAACGGCACTATGGCAGCCACTCTAGTCTTAGAACACAAAATAGGAAGAGATCTGAAGAGTTACGAGTTGGGAATGACTCCCAGCTCCTACAAACCCCAAGAGCCGAGGTACAGTGATGTGGAACAGTGCCACACTGTCCCCAACCACGAAGGGTCTCGAAACTACCCTTCACTAGGGCCTACACCAAGTGAAATGTTACACTACACAAAGTAATGTAACTATCTTCAATATCTTGAGGTGTACCCTTTTGGCGAGCTTTGAAATCACTTGAGGCTTGACACCAAGGCTCGGGCTCTTCATCACAAACTCATCCTTGAGTTCTTGATGGGTCTGCTGCACACACCTGCGACACACCGAACGTTCGACACAGGACAAAATAGAAACCGCGCACGACAAAATAGAAACCGCGCGCGAGACACAAACGACCGCGTAACACGCGTCTAGCGATAACTCGCTATTGACCCGACACATACACTCGACATCATGACTCAACATTCACACACAATTATAAGCATGAAATATATATTATCCCATGCCCTCATACCATTCCATACACACACACACATGCACGCACATGGACAACAAGCCGAGTGCAAACCATAGGGTTGCACCAACAGACGTCAACCACGCCCCTGCACCTCCGCCCTGAAGGGAAGTCAAACGGGCAAGGTGCAAGGGAGAGGCGTGACGGGCACGCACGGCCTCCAAGGCATGCGCCTCCAGAAGACGGCTCGCTCCTGCAAAAAGGGAATCGGGGGAGGCAGAAGCGCAAGAGGGCCAGGGGGGAAGGAGAGAGAGAACGTCGGGTGGGAGACCCTCTAGCGCCGTCTGCAGAGCCCGGTCGATCTGCTCTGGCTCACCTGAAGTGAAGCTCTGCCGAAACACCTCGCCACACGCAGGGAGAGAACAGAGAATGGGAGCACACTGCACCCAGGAGCACACGAAACTCACCGGGGCGATGCGTGCCATGCGACGAATGCCAAAACCCCCGAGACGGATGGGGAGGAAGATCTGGTCTAGGGCGGCCTCTCGGACGTCCTCGCGACAAGCCCAGGTCCCTGAAGCTAAAAGCTGCTGAAATGTCTCTCCCAGGCGTGCGTCCCACCGTGTAAAACTAGAGATCACTGCGGGCGAAGGAGGGACGGTCCTCGACAGGTACTGCGGACGAGTGCTGACACACGCCGACAGAAGGCGGGCAGCTGTCTGGGGCTGGCGCAACCTCGGAAGCCAAGGTAGCACCCGCCCCATCCTCTCGAGACGATCCGGGAGACTCTGCTCCACGAACGAAACGGTGCCTATCGGTACGCCTGTCACGGTGAGCCCTCGGCGTGCGACCTCGATCCCTAGGCCCGTGAAGGCCTCCAGATCCCTGGACAGAAAGGACTCTGTCTGGTAGACGAGGCACTTGTGCGGCTGGGCTGCAAGGCCCATCTCGCCCAAGCGCCTCACGATCTCGGCAAAGTGGTGCAGCACCCTGTCTGGGGGACCTAGCACGTACGTGTCATCGGCGTACGACCAGAGCTGGACATCCCCCTCCACCAGAACCGGCTCCAAAGCAAGACGCTGTGTCAGAGCGTACAAGAAGGGGCTGAGAGGGTCTCCCTGGCGAGTGCCCCGCTCCGAGTGCATCGTGACCACTCCCGTGCCTGACCTGTAGTGGAGATCCGAGGGCGTCCCGTAGAAGAGGCCGATGAAAGGGATCAGGCACTGAAACTCCGGGCTGGCCTGCAACGCCTGGAACATCCAGTCTCGGTGGAAGGAGTTAAAGGCATTCGCCACGTCTAGCTGCAGGACCACCCAGTCTGGGTGGTCAGCCAAAGCACGGCGGACGCCTCTAACTACGACCTCTGTCCCGCACGTAACCCCCACCCCAAACTGCTGTGACGCCAAGAAGACCCTCGCCATCTGGTCACGTAGCTGGAGACAGACTGCACGAGAAAGAATGCGGACCAAAACCTCGCCGATGGCAATCGGCCGAACATCCATGTTCGACTTCGCCAGAGCCACAAGGGTGGAAGACGCTAGCAAGGAGCGCGTAGCTGGAGCGCAACGGCCTCGGAGCCACTGCTGGTACACGGCCAGGAGGAAATGGAGACTCTGAGGGAAAGCTAGGAAAGTGTCTCGCAGGTGCTCAGCGACCCAACCGGACGGTCCTCCCGAAGAGCCCCGCGGAGCTGTGAAAATCGCGCGGCGTAAGTGATCCACCGAGAGCACGAGAGGGGACCCCTGGAAGCCAGACTGCCAAGCTGGGGTCGGCCTCTCCGCGTTGGGGTGCTTCGACTGCAGGCGCTGTATCGTCCCCTGTGTATCTGGGGCTGCCTCCGCGGACTCGAGAGCCGCGCACGCCCGTGAGGTCTCATTGCACGCTGCCAGACGAAGACAACGTGCAATGCGGCGCTCATCTGCTGTAGAGGGATCGGTGGCGGTGCGTGACCGGTGACCTGTGCGCCGAGGAAGGGGTGTGCGACGGCCTAGTGCATCTGAGACTAGCTCAGCCCACTCACCTCGACCAAAGCGGGAGATGCGCGTTGCAATGGCAGCCGTGTGCGAGCGGTCGGGTGGCGTCGCTGGAACAAGGAAAAGAGTCGGCGCTGCAGCGAGGAGGAAGGTAGGGCCAGCAGCCTCCGGGTCCTGGGCAATGCGGACTAGGATCGCACTGAGGACGTCGAGATATCCTCCGCGGACCCTCTCCGGGACACGTCGGAGAGGGCGTGCATGGATACGCTCGGGCGAGAAGTACTCTGTCCAGTCCACCGAGTCGAGCGTCTGCCACTGTGCGTCGGTGAACTGTATCCCGGTCGCACGGGGCTGTGAGAGGGAAGGGATGATCGAGGCGGTGTCCTGGGCAGCCTGCGCCCTGCGAGCCGCGTCCGCAGGATGGCAGAAGGGAATGTGGTGCTGGAGCGCGCGTCGGTTCGCGAGAGAGCTCCTGCAGGTGGGGCAACTCACGACCTGGTCGGGTGATGTCGCCGTGTCGGCGGGGTCAATCGGGGCCGTGGCGTCGGAACTGGCTGTAGAGGGGACCCCGTGGGCGGCCTGAGCTCCGAGAGGATCGCCTGGGATGAGGGGAGGAGACGACTCACCAGCCCCGTGCATGGGGGGTGTCAGCGAAGATAGAGGTGGTGTCGCACAGGATAGGGCCGGGCCTCGTACCGGTACCGGTGTCGAAGCTGGGGAGGGGGGACGTGGAGGTGAGCCTGAAGTGTGTGCCGTGGTGTGCTCCTGCCCCTCGGCGGGGTGCGGTTCAAGTGACGGCTCTGCTACCCCAGGCGGAGGGGTCTCGGTAGGGGCGGATGCCTCATCCCTACTGCTGGTGACCTCCTGCGCCACGGGGTGAACGGGGGGAGGCGCCACCCCATCTAGGTGCGCGTGACACGGCCTCAGAACCTGGTCCGTCTCCATTGGGGTCGGGAGTGACGCGCCTGGCTGAGTGGCGGGGGGGATAAAAGAAGGGACAGACCGGGTGACCTCCGCATACGTCCGGGTCCGGTCCTGTGGGACTGGAAGGGTGGGGGCAGCCGGAGAGCTGCTCGGGCGGTGTATCGCCAGCAAATCTGAAATGCCAGCCCTCACCTCCTCTGGGGTCTCGAAGACCTGCCTGCCTGTAGGTGAGAGTAGGAGGGCTGGCAGGGTAGAGGGTGGGGTGGGGCTTGCTGGCTGAGCGGAGCTCGGGTGTGGACCCTGCCCTAGAAGGCCCCCTTGGCCCTCCCCAATCACCATGGGTTGCGGTAGGGGGTCGTCGACATGGAAGGGGTGGGAGGGATGGGAGGGGGAGTCGGTGGCGTCTTCCATGGGCGCATCCCTCAACCCGACGGCCTCCATCCCAGTAGCGATCGCGGCCGCCGCCACCTGGGAGGGGGACACAGCACGAGAGGGGCAGAATGGGGGTGAGTGGGCTGGTCCGCTCCCATGGCCCTGTGGAGGTGCAGGAGCGGGGCGGGAGTGTAGGTTTGGTGGTCGGGCTGTAGAGGTAGGGCCTGGTAAGGGTTCAACGGGATGTGGGGTGGGGAGGGGCTCTTGGTGGGGGAGGGAGGGAGGGGGGAGTACGTGGGCTGACCCTCTGCCTCCTCTGCCCCTATTCTTCCGCCGGCGGCCAACCTGGTTGTCCGCGCCTGTTTGTGAAGGAAGGGGGGGCTGTGGGGCCAAAGGGGTGGGTGGAGGGAGGATGGGTGGTTCGCCAGGCGGGGGGTGCTCTAAGTGCATCCCCTCTCTCCTCGAAACATCCCCCTCCGTGGGAACAGATCGGGCGGGCTGTGTGTAGGGGGTGATGGCTGCCCAACGGGGCCACTCGTGGGGAATCCGGCCGGGAGGGGGGGTTGGAGGTGGGGGTCGAGGGGCTGGGCCAGTGTGGAGGTTAGAGCGAGGTACAAGCGGTGGGGGGAGAGAGATTTGTGTGGGCTCTGTGGTGGCCTCTCCTGTGGGCCCCTCTACCCGGGTGCCGCCGCTCCCATGAGCCTGGGGCGCAAGCCCTTGTGGGTGGGTCTCGGCTGCCTGGGGGGGGTGGTGTGGGGGGGGCAGCCTGTTGGGTGGGCGTGTTGGGGCTGTGCGGCGACTCGGGTGGTTTGGGTGCCTGTAGCGTGTGGGAGAGGGATTTGGCCGCAGAGATGCTTCAACCTCCGAGATGTGTGTACTACCGGGTGGGGGGGGGCCTGGTGGAGGGGGGGGGTAGTGGGCCGGTAGGGGGTGGCTGGGTGTTGGTAGGAGTCGGGGAGCATGGCTCCTCTAGGAAGGCCAGAGCCCTGGCTGCTCCACGTGGTGCTCTAAGGAGCCCCTGAGGGTGGGGGCAGAGGTGTGCTGCCCTTGGGGGTGAGGGAAGGAGTGAGGGAAGGGGCGGGGAGGGGTGAGAGGTGAGAGAAGGGGTGCCCTCGGGTGACTCTGCTCTTGTCGCACCCGCGTGCTCTCCCGGTGGACCGCCTGCAACCGTGGGGTCAGGGGTTGGGGACGGAGAGGGGGGCTGGCCATGGAGCAACGTGGGGGTCGGGGAGCACGGCTCCGCCAAGAAGGCCAGGGCCTTGGCTGCCCCCCTGGATACTACCGGGACCTGAGGGTGGGGGTGGGGAAGTCGTGCTCCTGGGGGTGGGTGGGCTGGAGGACGGGAGGTGAGGATTGGGGCTCCCTCGTGCGGCTCTGTCCTCAAGGTCTCCCCCAGCCCCTCCATCGGTCCTTCTGCTAGCATGGGGACGGGCATGGGGGGTAGAGGGGGAACCTCGACGTGAGGCTGCAGGGGGGCCGGGTCGGCCTCACCGTCAGGCGTGAGGTATTGGGCCAGTGGCCCGTCAATGTGCATCACATCCTCTCCCTCATCCTCCTCTATCGCTATCACATCCCCCTCTTCAGTGCCCACCCCGGTCGGGACCACACTCACCTCTCCTTCCCCTGTTGCCCCTATGTCCTCCGAGCCCACCCCGCCTGCTGCCGCTTTACTGCTAGCCCCTTTTGCAGTCTCTGCCGGCCCTGCTGTGTGTTTCCCCGCGTTTGCTGCGGCCCCTGCCGCCCCTACTGGCCGTGCTATGGCCCTCCCTGCTGCTCCAGCTACAGCCTCACCTTCTACCTTTGAGGCCACTGTTGTCCCTTCTCCCACTCTAGCCCCTGCCGTACCCTCTTTTGCTACAGCCGGGGCAGCACTCTCCCTCGCACCAGTCCCCGTTACCCCCTTCCCCGCTGCACCCGTAGCACCTCCCCCTGTACCGGCCCCCACTGTGGCCTCTGTCGCTCCTGCTGCAGTCCTTGCAGCCTCGACTGCTGCAGTCTGTAAAACCTCGCCTGCCGTAGTCTGCTCAGCCTCACCAGCCGCTATCCCTGCAGCCTTGCCTGCCGCGGTCCCTGCAGCCTCACGTGCTGCAGTCCCTGCAGCCTCACCTGCTGCAGTCCCCGCGGCCTCACCTGCTGCAGTCTGTGCAGCCTCCCCTGCTAGAATCTGCTCAACCTCACATGCTGCGGCCTCTGCAGCCTCACCTGCTGCGGCTATTTCAGCCTCACCTGCTGCGCTCCCTGCGGCCTCACCTGCCCTGGTCCCGCCTGCAGCCTCATCCGCTGTGGTCCCTGCAGCCTCACCTGCTGCAGTCCCTGCAGCCTCACCTGTTGCAGTCCCTGCGACCTCACCAGCTGTAGACTGTGCAGCCTCACCTGCTAGAGTCTGCCCAACCTTACATGGTGCAGCCCTCGCAGCCTCACCTGCTGCGTCCGCCGCAGCCTCACCTGCTGCGGCCCCTGCAGCCCCGCCTGCTGCGCTCCCTGCAGCCTCGCCTGCTGCGCTCCCTGCAGCCTCACCTGCTGCGCTCCCTGCGGCCTCACCTGCTGCGCTCTCTGCAGCCTCACCTGCTGCGCTCCCTACAGCCTCACCTGCTGCGCTCCCTGCAGCCTCACCTACTGCGCTCCCTGCGGCTTCACCTGCCATGGTCCCTCCTGCAGCCTCACCCGTTGTGATCCCTGCAGCCACACCTGCTGTGGTCTGTGCGGCCTTGCCTGGTGCGGTCCCTATAGCCTCCTCTGCTGCGGTTCCCCCAGCCGACACAGCAGCAGGTTCCGTGGCCCCTACTCCTGCAAAACCTGTCTCCATGGCCTCTGCCCTTTGCCTGGCCAGAGTCACGGTCCCTGCCGCCCCTTCCTGTGCAGCCTCTGCCGCCCTTTCCCGTGCAGCCGCTGCTGCCCCTTCCCTTGCAGCCTCTGCTGCCCTTTCCTCTGCAACCTCTGCTGCCCCTTCCCCCACAACCTCCATTGCCCCTTCCCGTGCAGCCTTTGCTGCCCCATCCTCTGCAGCCTCTGCTGCTCCTTCGCACACACATTCACTTACCCCTTCCCGTGCAGTGTTAGCTGCAAGTTCCCCCCTGGCTCTGCCCCCTCCCGCTTCTATGTGCTTGGGGGTGCTAGTAGGATTAAGTGTTTTCACCAGTAATCTGGTTTGCGAATGGGAGGTAGCGAATAAGTTGGGGGATCTCTCCACTTGGCATGCATGGGTACCGTCCCCGCTGTCACCTGAAGGGGGGGTAGGCTGGGATGGGGCCGCGGGGGTAGGGCGCAGTTTTGAGCGTGCTGGCTCCTCCTTGTGTATTTCCTCCAGTGGGGCTTGGCGTTCCTCTGTTCCATCCTCTTCAAGGGTACGCTTTTGGCCCCTAGGGTCAGATTGTGTGAGTGTTTTCGCTTGGTCAGGTGTGTGTTGTTTCTTCCTGACTGTTGAAGTGGGGGGAGTGGGAGAGTAGGGGGTGGCTCGGCTGCGGGACCTCCCAGATCGCCGAGGGGCTCCCGGGTCTGCCTTTTCTCCACTCGCGGGGTGCTGGGGCATTGTTACAGAGGCAGCATGCCTGGCGGTGGCGGTGTGAGTTGCTGGAGTTGGCTCAAGAGGGCGTCAAAGGGGGAAGGAACTCCCTGGCAGAGGCCGGGGTGCGGGGGGCTAGCTTGGGGAAATGGAAAAAGGGTGGGGAAAGCGGTGCGCTGTGGGTGGAAGAGAGGGTAGAGGGGGCCTGACGGTTGGAGGGGATTGGGCCCAAGGGGGGGGCGGGCTGGGGGCCGGTTGAGAGGGGGAGTGTTGGCGGGCTGTAGTGGTGGTGGGGGGGCGGGGGTGATGTAGTGGTGGGCGAGCAGGGTGTGGGGACAGGTGGTGGGCCAGAGGTGGGGAGGGCAGGGCAGAATTCCACGGGAGGTGGGGGTGGGCAGGTGGAGCCAAGTGGGGAAGGAAGGGTGGGGAACAGAGAGGAAGGGGCAAAGGGTAGTGGGTAGTCGAGTTGGCGTGAGCCTGGTAGCGGGTAATGAGAAGGTTGGAAGGCGGGGGGTGAGAACGTGGGAGGGCCGAGAGGGCACCGAAAGGAGGCGCTGTGGTAAATGCAGAATAGGATGCGGGGCCGGGAAACAGGGGACAGAGGGAATTGGGGAACTGATGAAGGGTGATACCTGCGGATTGGCGAGCCCCAGGGGGGAGGAAATATGGAGGGTGTTGGAGAAGGGGGAGACTGGGGGGGGTTGGGGTAGGGTGTTGAAAGGCACAAGGGGCAGGAACAGGGGGTGCAGAGGTTGGTTGGGGGAGGGAGAGGCGGTCTGGTGCCGCGGAAGGGCGGACGGAGGTTGGGGACGGCACAGCACAGGGAGCAAAAGCAAGGGGTGTAGACCCTGGCTGGGGGTAGGACCGGCAGTGTGGAGTTAGGGAGAGGTAGAGGGAGGCTGGGGTAGGTGGCTGGATTGCGCAGGGAGCAGGGGCAGGGGGTGTAGAGATTGGATGGGGGTGGGAAAGGCGGCGTGGTGTCAGGTGGCGGCAGTTGGGTCCTCGGAGGGCCTGGCAGGGCAGGATGCAGAGGTGCAGCCCACGCTGGATGCGGAAATAGCTGGGGGGGAAAAGGGAGGCTGGAGGGGGAGGTACGGCTCGTAGAGGTGTGGGGGACAGAGTGGGAGTGGGGAAGGCAGGAGGGGGGGTGGAGGAGGGACGTTGTGGACAGGGGAGTGGGGGAACATGCGGGTGATGATAGGGGGAAGCCGGGGGGGGGAGAAGGGGGAGGTGGTATGAAGTGGGCGAGGGTGACGCGCGGGCAGAGCGCGGCGGTACTAAGGGCAGGGAGACGGGGGGCTGGGGGGAGAAAGGCCTGCTTGGGGGCGTGGTGGGGGATAAGGGGAGAGGGGCGGTAATGCTGGTGGGCAAAAGGGGAGGGTGTGGTGTAGTATGATGAAACAGAATGGGGGGGTGGCGGACTGGATGGGGCCCTGGAGGGTTGGGAGAACAAGGTGTAAGCTGCCTTTCTGATTTTTCCTGGTTTTTTCCGATTTATATGAATTTCTTTTTTCTTTTCTTTTTTCCTTGAAGTTGCTTCCTCTTATTTCCTACGGTTTCCAGAGACAGGGCGGCCTCTGCTAGCTAAGCGCCGTTAGGGAAAGAGGTTAGGTGGCGGGGTGGCTAAAGCGTGCGTGTGAGGGGGAAAGGGGCGGTGTGAGCAGAGAGGTGACTATGAGGGTGGCGACGGGGTAAGATTACGACGTGTGGGTGGCATGCACGAGTGCGCGACGAGGCATGGCAGGGTGGGAGTGAGCAAAGGGGGAGTGGGGCGGCTTGTGTGCCAAACGTGGGTGGCTAAAACGCTCTAGGCAGAAAACGCGCTTCGGGAGGCGCGCAAGGGGAGGGCTGTTTAATCGCTACAAACGTAGCAATTTCGCCTCCCTCCGCGCTGCCTTTCCCTGGCGGTGAGCGCCCCGTGCGCGGTTCCGTCTACGTCGCGGCTAGATTGAACGGGCGGGGAAAGAAAAAAAGATTGCGTGACTAAGCGTGATAGGCGACGAGAAAGCGTGCTTGAAAACGCGCGGCTCTTCGAATTAGGGTTTCGATAAAGAAGGGCGCACTGAAAGGGAAGGAAGAATGCTAACTACGGGCGGAAGCTAAGCTCAGTGACTTCGAGAGAGGGAAACCGCGGGAAGTGACTCGGTATTTGCTAATCGCTTCGAATAGCAAAGCCGTGGGCAGAAAAGAGCGGGGGGATAAGGGAGAGTGTCGAGAGAGGGGATGGGCGGGAACACCGTGTCTGTCGGAGTTGTGATTGTGAGTCGCGCGCGCTGTTACACTCCGCGGGCGAACTTCGCGTCAACGCCCCACCTCCCGTTACACCGGCTGCAGCGCGTCCGCAGCCTTCCCGCGATGGCGGGGTCGAACGAGCGGTTCAGTAACACCCCGCAAGTTCCGTTTCCGCAAGGGGGCAGGGGGTGTGACTATGAAGGGGGGGACCCGGGCAAGGGGTGTGTAGCGGTCGGGGCACGAGGTTGACGTGGTACGATCATACCTCGGCTACTACGCCGGATCCCATCAGAACTCCGAAGCTAAGCGCCGGTGGGCGAGAGCAGTTATTCATTAATAGGGGAAGAGCAAATACAAGCCGAATATAATGGTTTTTCCAAAACTAGGAAATTTCGACATAGCCTTATCGCTATGGGGACGGTATATATATTTTGTAGGAAAAGGGGGAAAGAAAGGAAAGGAAGGAAGGATGAAGGAGTAAGAAGAGGTGGTAGGGAGAAGAAGAGGGTGGTAGGAAGAGAAGGGAAGGACAGGAGAAGGGAACAGAAAGAGGGAGGTGGGGAGAGAAGAGGAGAGAGGGAGAGAGACTAAGGAGGAGGAAGCACCAAAGGACCACAACACGGCAGCAACCCGCACGACCGCACGGGCACAGCGTTTCAAGCACAGCCACTATTTTTTTTTTTACACATATGCATCATATATATACTGCATATCAGCCACACTCTCGAAGCACCGTGTGACGTGGTGCCAAGTACCCTGCCCCGCACCCAGTGGGACTGGTGCGGGCATCCACCCGTCGTCGGATCCCCCTAACTGCCGCACCGCATGCTGGATCATGCATTGAGCCTGCGCGCGCTGCAGTGCAACGGAGAGGCGTGTAGTGAGTCCTGCCTCAAATATCCGTGCCGATCCGTCATCCCCCCCACCTCTATCCCTCCTCCGCTGTGCTATCCTCTTTGCGCAGAGCCCCAGAAACTGACGTAGCGGCTCACTCAGAAGGCCAAAGGTCTCCGCCACGCACGCGTAAAAGTGTGGTGCCGGCTGCAGCCCCTCTAAGTGCGGCCCCCAGTGCCGCAGCTTCTCCTGCACCCGCCTAGCTGCTGCCACTCCAATCTGTGTGGGGGTCGCCCGTCTCAGCTGCACGTTCCCCTCCCGCTGTGGATCCGCTATGGAGACATCCACAAGAACCATCAGACCCTGGCCAACGTCGCGGCAGGTGAGGTCTGGGATGCGGGAGGCGGTGCCTACACGGCCTGTGCGTCCGCCTGGTCCCTGCTGTTGCGCTGGCTGCTGCCCTGTCTGGTCCCTTGGTGCCTCCTCTCCGATCGTCTCTCTCCCCCTCTCCTCTCCTCCATCCACCTGTCCTCTCCCCTCCCCCTCTCTACCCTCCCCCAACCCTCCCGACCCCCCTGCTCCATCCCCTGCTGCCTCTCTCACTCCCTGGCCCTCCCCTCCCAATCCCGCTGCCCCTCCTGTACCTCCGTCCGCTCTCTGCTGCTCCCGCCCCTGCCCCTCCTCCGAGGCCGAACCTGGAGGCGCGGCGCCCTGGGCCCGCGGCCTCCCCTGGCTCTCCTGCTGCTGCCTGTGCCGTCTCCCCTCCCCGTCCCGGCCCGTCTGCTCCCCCTGCCGTCCCCTCCGCCCACCTATCCCTCGCTCCACCTGACCCCGCAGCTGGTGCTGTCCCCATTGTCCCCCGCCACCCGGCTGTCCCGCCTCGCCTCTCTGCTCCCCCGGTCCCTCAGCCCGCGTCCCCTCTCCCACCACTGGCTGTCCCAGTAGTCTCGCTCGAGCCGCCTCCAACTGTGTGAACAGCGTAGAGTCCTCCACCTTTACCGCGAAGCCCGCCTCGACCGCAAAGTCTCGAAGCATGTACTTCACCGTGTCATGGATGGTAGTGGCGACCCCGTAGCGCGGGCACCGAACCGCGTGATGAGGCACCGTCATGTCGTCAATCGCCTGTCCGCAGGAGCACTGACCTGCAAGGGCTAACTGGGGGATAGGGAGACCGAGACGAGAAGATGAAGCCGCCTGCCACAGCGCCTCCGGGATGCGCAGTGGGTCAGCGTACGGCACCGACGTCAACCACGCCCCTGCACCTGCGCCCTGAAGGGAAGTCAAACGGGCAAGGTGCAAGGGAGAGGCGTGACGGGCACGCACGGCCTCCAAGGCATGCGCCTCCAGAAGACGGCTCGCTCCTGCAAAAAGGGAATCGGGGGAGGCAGAAGCGCAAGAGGGCCAGGGGGGAAGGAGAGAGAGAACGTCGGGTGGGAGACCCTCTAGCGCCGTCTGCAGAGCCCGGTCGATCTGCTCTGGCTCACCTGAAGTGAAGCTCTGCCGAAACACCTCGCCACACGCAGGGAGAGAACAGAGAATGGGAGCACACTGCACCCAGGAGCACACGAAACTCACCGGGGCGATGCGTGCCATGCGACGAATGCCAAAACCCCCGAGACGGATGGGGAGGAAGATCTGGTCTAGGGCGGCCTCTCGGACGTCCTCGCGACAAGCCCAGGTCCCTGAAGCTAAAAGCTGCTGAAATGTCTCTCCCAGGCGTGCGTCCCACCGTGTAAAACTAGAGATCACTGCGGGCGAAGGAGGGACGGTCCTCGACAGGTACTGCGGACGAGTGCTGACACACGCCGACAGAAGGCGGGCAGCTGTCTGGGGCTGGCGCAACCTCGGAAGCCAAGGTAGCACCCGCCCCATCCTCTCGAGACGATCCGGGAGACTCTGCTCCACGAACGAAACGGTGCCTATCGGTACGCCTGTCACGGTGAGCCCTCGGCGTGCGACCTCGATCCCTAGGCCCGTGAAGGCCTCCAGATCCCTGGACAGAAAGGACTCTGTCTGGTAGACGAGGCACTTGTGCGGCTGGGCTGCAAGGCCCATCTCGCCCAAGCGCCTCACGATCTCGGCAAAGTGGTGCAGCACCCTGTCTGGGGGACCTAGCACGTACGTGTCATCGGCGTACGACCAGAGCTGGACATCCCCCTCCACCGGAACCGGCTCCAAAGCAAGACGCTGTGTCAGAGCGTACAAGAAGGGGCTGAGAGGGTCTCCCTGGCGAGTGCCCCGCTCCGAGTGCATCGTGACCACTCCCGTGCCTGACCTGTAGTGGAGATCCGAGGGCGTCCCGTAGAAGAGGCCGATGAAAGGGATCAGGCACTGAAACTCCGGGCTGGCCTGCAACGCCTGGAACATCCAGTCTCGGTGGAAGGAGTTAAAGGCATTCGCCACGTCTAGCTGCAGGACCACCCAGTCTGGGTGGTCAGCCAAAGCACGGCGGATGCCTCTAACTACGACCTCTGTCCCGCACGTAACCCCCACCCCAAACTGCTGTGACGCCAAGAAGACCCTCGCCATCTGGTCACGTAGCTGGAGACAGACTGCACGAGAAAGAAGGGATGATCGAGGCGGTGTCCTGGGCAGCCTGCGCCCTGCGAGCCGCGTCCGCAGGATGGCAGAAGGGAATGTGGTGCTGGAGCGCGCGTCGGTTCGCGAGAGAGCTCCTGCAGGTGGGGCAACTCACGACCTGGTCGGGTGATGTCGCCGTGTCGGCGGGGTCAATCGGGGCCGTGGCGTCGGAACTGGCTGTAGAGGGGACCCCGTGGGCGGCCTGAGCTCCGAGAGGATCGCCTGGGATGAGGGGAGGAGACGACTCACCAGCCCCGTGCATGGGGGGTGTCAGCGAAGATAGAGGTGGTGTCGCACAGGATAGGGCCGGGCCTCGTACCGGTACCGGTGTCGAAGCTGGGGAGGGGGGACGTGGAGGTGAGCCTGAAGTGTGTGCCGTGGTGTGCTCCTGCCCCTCGGCGGGTTGCGGTTCAAGTGACGGCTCTGCTACCCCAGGCGGAGGGGTCTCGGTAGGGGCGGATGCCTCATCCCTACTGCTGGTGACCTCCTGCGCCACGGGGTGAACGGGGGGAGGCGCCACCCCATCTAGGTGCGCGTGACACGGCCTCAGAACCTGGTCCGTCTCCATTGGGGTCGGGAGTGACGCGCCTGGCTGAGTGGCGGGGGGGATAAAAGAAGGGACAGACCGGGTGACCTCCGCATACGTCCGGGTCCGGTCCTGTGGGACTGGAAGGGTGGGGGCAGCCGGAGAGCTGCTCGGGCGGTGTATCGCCAGCAAATCTGAAATGCCAGCCCTCACCTCCTCTGGGGTCTCGAAGACCTGCCTGCCTGTAGGTGAGAGTAGGAGGGCTGGCAGGGTAGAGGGTGGGGTGGGGCTTGCTGGCTGAGCGGAGCTCGGGTGTGGACCCTGCCCTAGAAGGCCCCCTTGGCCCTCCCCAATCACCATGGGTTGCGGTAGGGGGTCGTCGACATGGAAGGGGTGGGAGGGATGGGAGGGGGAGTCGGTGGCGTCTTCCATGGGCGCATCCCTCAACCCGACGGCCTCCATCCCAGTAGCGATCGCGGCCGCCGCCACCTGGGAGGGGGACACAGCACGAGAGGGGCAGAATGGGGGTGAGTGGGCTGGTCCGCTCCCATGGCCCTGTGGAGGTGCAGGAGCGGGGCGGGAGTGTAGGTTTGGTGGTCGGGCTGTAGAGGTAGGGCCTGGTAAGGGTTCAACGGGATGTGGGGTGGGGAGGGGCTCTTGGTGGGGGAGGGAGGGAGGGGGGAGTACGTGGGCTGACCCTCTGCCTCCTCTGCCCCTGTTCTTCCGCCGGCGGCCAACCTGGTTGTCCGCGCCTGTTTGTGAAGGAAGGGGGGGCTGTGGGGCCAAAGGGGTGGGTGGAGGGAGGATGGGTGGTTCGCCAGGCGGGGGGTGCTCTGTGTGTATCCCCTCTCTCCTCGAAACGTCCCCCTCCGTGGGAACAGATCGGGCAGGCTGTGTGTGGGGGGTGATGGCTGCCCAACGGGGCCACTCGTGGGGAACCCGGCCGGGAGGGGGGGTTGGAGGTGGGGGTCGAGGGGCTGGGCCAGTGTGGAGGTTAGAGCGAGGTACAAGCGGTGGGGGGAGAGAGATTTGTGTGGGCTCTGTGGTGGCCTCTCCTGTGGGCCCCTCTACCCGGGTGCCGCCGCTCCCATGAGCCTGGGGCGCAAGCCCTTGTGGGTGGGTCTCGGCTGCCTGGGGGGGGTGGTGTGAGGGGGGCAGCCTGTTGGGTGGGCGTGTTGGGGCTGTGCGGCGACTCGGGTGGTTTGGGTGCCTGTAGCGTGTGGGAGAGGGATTTGGCCGCAGAGATGCTTCAACCTCCGAGATGTGTGTACTACCGGGTGGGGGGGGGCCTGGTGGAGGGGGGGGTAGTGGGCCGGTAGGGGGTGGCTGGGTGTTGGTAGGAGTCGGGGAGCATGGCTCCTCTAGGAAGGCCAGAGCCCTGGCTGCTCCACGTGGTGCTCTAAGGAGCCCCTGAGGGTGGGGGCAGAGGTGTGCTGCCCTTGGGGGTGAGGGAAGGAGTGAGGGAAGGGGCGGGGAGGGGTGAGAGGTGAGAGAAGGGGTGCCCTCGGGTGACTCTGCTCTTGTCGCACCCGCGTGCTCTCCCGGTGGACCGCCTGCAACCGTGGGGTCAGGGGTTGGGGACGGAGAGGGGGGCTGGCCATGGAGCAACGTGGGGGTCGGGGAGCATGGCTCCGCCAAGAAGGCCAGGGCCTTGGCCGCCCCCCTGGATACTACCGGGACCTGAGGGTGGGGGTGGGGAAGTGGTGCTCTTGGGGGTGGGTGGGCTGGAGGACGGGAGGTGAGGATGGGGGCTCCCTCGTGCGGCTCTGTCCTCAAGGTCTCCCCCAGCCCCTCCATCGGTCCTTCTGCTAGCATGGGGACGGGCATGGGGGGTAGAGGGGGAACCTCGACGTGAGGCTGCAGGGGGGCCGGGTCGGCCTCACCGTCAGGCGTGAGGTATTGGGCCAGTGGCCCGTCAATGTGCATCACATCCTCTCCCTCATCCTCCTCTATCGCTATCACATCCCCCTCTTCAGTGCCCACCCCGGTCGGGACCACACTCACCTCTCCTTCCCCTGTTGCCCCTATGTCCTCCGAGCCCACCCCGCCTGCTGCCGCTTTACTGCTAGCCCCTTTTGCAGTCTCTGCCGGCCCTGCTGTGTGTTTCCCCGCGTTTGCTGCGGCCCCTGCCGCCCCTACTGGCCGTGCTATGGCCCTCCCTGCTGCTCCAGCTACAGCCTCACCTTCTACCTTTGAGGCCACTGTTGTCCCTTCTCCCACTCTAGCCCCTGCCGTACCCTCTCTTGCTACAGCCGGGGCAGCACTCTCCCTCGCACCAGTCCCCGTTACCCCCTTCCCCGCTGCACCCGTAGCACCTCCCCCTGTACCGGCCCCCACTGTGGCCTCTGTCGCTCCTGCTGCAGTCCTTGCAGCCTCGACTGCCGCGATCCCTGCAGCCTTGCCTGCTGCGGTCCCTGCAGCCTCACGTGCTGCAGTCCCTGCAGCCTCACCTGCTGCAGTCCCTGCGGCCTCGCCTGCTGCAGTCTGTGTAGCCTCACCTGCTAGAATCTGCTCAACCTCACATGCTGCGGCCTCTGCAGCCTCACCTGCTGCGGCTATTTCAGCCTCACCTGCTGCGCTCCCTGCGGCCTCACCTGCCCTGGTCCCGCCTGCAGCCTCATCCGCTGTGGTCCCTGCAGCCTCACCTGCTGCAGTCCCTGCGGCCTCACCTGTTGCAGTCCCTGCGACCTCACCAGCTGTAGACTGTGCAGCCTCACCTGCTAGAGTCTGCCCAACCTTACATGATGCAGCCCTCGCAGCCTCACCTGCTGCGTCCGCCGCAGCCTCACCTGCTGCGGCCCCTGCAGCCCCGCCTGCTGCGCTCCCTGCAGCCTCGCCTGCTGCGCTCCCTGCAGCCTCGCCTGCTGCGCTCCCTGCGGCCTCACCTGCTGCGCTCTCTGCAGCCTCACCTGCTGCGCTCCCTACAGCCTCACCTGCTGCGCTCCCTGCAGCCTCACCTACTGCGCTCCCTGCGGCTTCACCTGCCATGGTCCCTCCTGCAGCCTCACCCGTTGTGATCCCTGCAGCCACACCTGCTGTGGTCTGTGCGGCCTCGCCTGGTGCGGTCCCTATAGCCTCCTCTGCTGCGGTTCCCCCAGCCGACACAGCAGCAGGTTCCGTGGCCCCTACTCCTGCAAAACCTGTCTCCATGGCCTCTGCCCTTTGCCTGGCCAGAGTCACGGTCCCTGCCGCCCCTTCCCGTGCAGCCTCTGCCGCCCTTTCCCGTGCAGCCGCTGCTGCCCCTTCCCTTGCAGCCTCTGCTGCCCTTTCCTCTGCAACCTCTGCTGCCCCTTCCCCCACAACCCCCATTGCCCCTTCCCGTGCAGCCTTTGCTGCCCCACCCTCTGCAGCCTCTGCTGCTCCTTCGCACACACATTCACTTACCCCTTCCCGTGCAGTGTTAGCTGCAAGTTCCCCCCTGGCTCTGCCCCCTCCCGCTTCTATGTGCTTGGGGGTGCTAGTAGGATTAAGTGTTTTCACAAGTAATCTGGTTTGCGAATGGGAGGTAGCGAGTGAGTTGGGGGATCTCTCCACTTGGCATGCATGGGTACCGTCCCCGCTGTCACCTGAAGGGGGGGTAGGCTGGGATGGGGCCGCGGGGGTAGGGCGCGGTTTTGAGCGTGCTGGCTCCTCCTTGTGTATTTCCTCCAGTGGGGCTTGGCGTTCCTCTGTTCCATCCTCTTCAAGGGTACGTTTCTGGCCCCTAGGGTCAGATTGTGTGAGTGTTTTCGCTTGGTCAGGTGTGTGTTGTTTCTTCCTGACTGTTGAAGTGGGGGGAGTGGGAGAGTAGGGGGTGGCTCGGCTGCGGGACCTCCCAGATCGCCGAGGGGCTCCCGGGTCTGCCTTTTCCCCACTCGCGGGGTGCTGGGGCATTGTTACAGAGGCAGCATGCCTGGCGGTGGCGGTGTGAGTTGCTGGAGTTGGCTCAAGAGGGCGTCAAAGGGGGAAGGAACTCCCTGGCAGAGGCCGGGGTGCGGGGGGTTAGCTTGGGAAGATGGAAAAAGGGTGGGGAAAGCGGTGCGCAGTGGGTGGAAGAGAGGGTAGAGGGGGCCTGACGGTTGGAGGGGATTGGGGCCCAAGGGGGGGGCGGGCTGGGGGCCGGTTGAGAGGGGAAGTGTTGGCGGGCTGTAGTGGAGGTGGGGGGGCGGGGGTGATGTAGTGGTGGGCGAGCAGGGTGTGGGGACAGGTGGTGGGCCAGAGGTGGGGAGGGCAGGGCAGAATTCCACGGGAGGTGGGGGTGGGCAGGTGGAGCCAAGTGGGGAAGGAAGGGTGGGGAACAGAGAGGAAGGGGCAAAGGGTAGTGGGTAGTCGAGTTGGCGTGAGCCTGGTAGCGGGTAATGAGAAGGTTGGAAGGCGGGGGGTGAGAACGTGGGAGGGCCGAGAGGGCACCGAAAGGAGGCGCTGTGGTAAATGCAGAAAAAGATGCGGGGCCGGGAAGCAGGGGACAGAGGGAATCGGGGAATTGATGAAGGGTGATACCTGCGGATGGGCGAGCCCCAGGGGGGAGGAAATATGGAGGGTGTTGGAGAAGGGGGAGACTGGGGGGGGTTGGGGTAGGGTGTTGGAAGGCACAAGGAGCAGGAACAGGGGGTGCAGAGGTTGGTTGGGGGAGGGAGAGGCGGTCTGGTGCCGCGGAAGGGCGGACGGAGGTTGGGGACGGCACAGCACAGGGAGCAAAAGCAAGGGGTGTAGACCCTGGCTGGGGGTAGGACCGGCAGTGTGGAGTTAGGGAGAGGTAGAGGGAGGCTGGGGTAGGTGGCTGGATTGCGCAGGGAGCAGGGGCAGGGGGTGTAGAGATTGGATGGGGATGGGAAAGGCGGCGTGGTGTCAGGTGGCGGCAGTTGGGTCCTCGAAGGGCCTGGCAGGGCAGGATGCAGGGGTGCAGCCCACGCTGGATGCGGAAGTAGCTGGGGGGGAAAGGAAGGCTGGAGGGGGAGGTACGGCTCGTAGAGGTGTGGGGGGCAGAGTGGGAGTGGGGAAGGTAGGAGGGGGGGTGGAGGAGGGACGTTGTGGACAGGGGAGTGGGGGAACATGCGGGTGATGATAGGGAGAAGCAGGGGGAGGGAGAAGGGGGAGGTGTTATGACGTGGGCGAGGGTGACGCACGGGCAGAGCGCGGCGGTACTAAGGGCAGGGAGACGGGGGGCTGGGGGGAGAAAGGCCTGCTTGGGGGCGTGGTGGGGGATAAGGGGAGAGGGGCGGTAATGCAGGTGGGCAAAAGGGGAGGGTGTGGTGTAGTATGATGAAACAGAATGGGGGGGGTGGCGGACTGGATGGGGCCCTGGAGGGTTGGGAGAACAAGGTGTAAGCTGCCTTTCTGATTTTTCCTGGTTTTTTTCGGATTTATATGAATTTCTTTTTCTTTTCTTTTTTTTTTCCTTGAGGGAAAGAGGTTAGGTGGCGGGGTGGCTAAAGCGCGCGTGTGAGGGGGAAAGGGGCGGTGTGAGCAGGGAGGTGACTATGTGGGTGGCGACAGGGTAAGGTTACGACGTGTGGGTGGCATGCACGAGTGCGCGACGAGGCATGGCAGGGTGGGGGTGAGCAAAAGGGGAGTGGGGCGGCTTGTGTGCCAAACGTGGGCGGCTAAAACGCTCTAGGCAGAAAACGCGCTTCGGGAGGCGCGCAAGGGGAGGGCTGCTTAATCGCTACGAACGTAGCAATTTCGCCTCCCTCCGCGCTGCCTTTCCCTGGCGGTAAGCGCCCCGCGCGGTTCCGTCTACGTCGCGGCTAGATTGAATAGGCGGGGAAAACGAGTGCGTGACTAAACATGATAGGCGACGAGAAAGCGTGCTTGGAAACGCGCGGCTCTTCGAATTAGGGTTTCGACAATGAAGGGCGCACCGAAAGGGAAGGAAGAGTGCTAACTACGGGCGGGAGCTAAGCTCAGTGACTTCGAGAGAGGGAAACCGCGGGAAAAAACTCGGTATTTGCTAATCGCTTCGAATGGAAAAGCCGTGAGCAGAAAAGAGCGGGGGGATAAGGGAGAGTGTCGAGAGAGGGGATGGGCGGGAACACCGTGTCTGGCGGAGTTGTGGTTGTGAGTCGCGCGCGCTGTTACACTCCGCGGGCGAACTTCGCGTCCACGCCCCACCTCCCGTTACACCGGCTGCAGCGCGTCCGCAGCGATCCCGCGATGGCGGGGTCGAACGAGCGGTTCCGTAACACCCCGCGAGTTCCGTTTCCGAGACTCCTAAGGGTCGCGCGCGAAACTCGCGACCCCCGTCCCGTCGAACTCGACAGTCGAAACTAAAAAACTAACCGTTGGAAACGCTTATAACTATAACATAAACAACTATCACAGAAGCTGAGCACACGGAGGGGGGAAAGGTGAGGCAGGGAGGTAGGAAGCCAAGGACAAGGGGGGGGAGAGTGGGGGGGCAGGGAGAGGGGGGAGGTGGGGAGCGGGGAAAGGCGGCGAGGGGCAGGGAGGGGAGAAACCAAGCATAGGGGGGTGAGATACGAGGGGCAGGGTGCGGATTGAGGAGGGGCAGGGAGTGGAGTGGGTCGGCGAGGGGAAGGAAGAGGCGTGCAGCAGAGGAGGGGAGGGGGGAGGAGAAGGTAAAGGAGGGGAGCGCACGGGCGGGGAGGAGCGAATGGCGGGCGGTGGGAAACGGCGAGGGGGGGCAGGGAGGGTCAAAAGAGGCGGCAAGGGAGCGGGCACGCGGAGGGTAGGGGCGGGGGGAGCGGATGGCATGAGGGGGCAGGGGGTGTGACTATGAAGGGGGGGACCCGGGCAAGGGGTGTGTAGCGGTCGGGGCACGAGGTTGACGTGGTACGATCATACCTCGGCTACTACGCCGGATCCCATCAGAACTCCGAAGCTAAGCGCCGGTGGGCGAGAGCAGTTATTCATTAATAGGGGAAGAGCAAATACAAGCCGAATATAATGGTTTTTCCAAGACTAGGAAATTTCGACATAGCCTTATCGCTATGAGGACGGTATATATATTTTGTAGGAAAAGGGGGAAAGAAAGGAAAGGAAGGAAGGATGAAGGAGTAAGAAAAAGTGGTAGGGAAAAGAAGAGGGTGGTAGGAAGAGAAGGGAAGGATAGAAGAAGGGAACAGAAAGAGGGAGGTGGGAAGAGAAGAGGAGAAAGGGAGAGAGACTAAGGAGGAGGAAGCACCAAAGGACCAAAACACGGCAGCAACCCGCACGACCGCACGAGCACAGCGTTTCAAGCACAGCCACTATTGTTTTTTACACATATGCATCATATATATACTGCATATCAGCCACACTCTCGAAGCACCCTGTGACGTGGTGCCAAGTACCCTGCCCCGCACCCAGTGGGACTGGTGCGGGCATCCACCCGTCGTCGGATCCCCCTAACTGCCGCACCGCATGCTGGATCATGCATTGAGCCTGCGCGCGCTGCAGTGCAACGGAGAGGCGTGTAGTGAGTCCTGCCTCAAATATCCGTGCCGATCCGTCATCCCCCCCACCTCTATCCCTCCTCCGCTGTGCTATCCTCTTTGCGCAGAGCCCCAGAAACTGACGCAGCGGCTCACTCAAAAGGCCAAAGGTCTCCGCCACGCACGCGTAAAAGTGTGGTGCCGGCTGCAGCCCCTCTAAGTGCGGCCCCCAGTGCCTCAGCTTCTCCTGCACCCGTCTAGCTGCTGCCACTCCAATCTGTGTGGGGGTCGCCCGTCTCAGCTGCACGTTCCCCTCGCGCTGTGGATCCGCTATGGAGACATCCACAAGAACCATCAGACCCTGGCCAACGTCGCGGCAGGTGAGGTCTGGGATGCGGGAGGCGGTGCCTACACGGCCTGTGCGTCCGACTGGTCCCTGCTGTTGCGCTGGCTGCTGCCTTGTCTGGTCCCTTGGTGCCTCCTCTCCAATCGTCTCTCTCCCCCTCTCCTCTCCTCCATCCACCTGTCCTCTCCCCTCCCCCTCTCTACCCTCCCCCAACCCTCCCGACCCCCCTGCTCCATCCCCTGCTGCCTCTCTCACTCCCTGGCCCTCCCCTCCCAATCCCGCTGCCCCTCCTGTACCTCCGTCCGCTCTCTGCTGCTCCCGCCCCTGCCCCACCCCCGAGGCCGAACCTGGAGGCGCGGCGCCCTGGGCCCGCGGCCTCCCCTGGCTCTCCTGCTGCTGCCTGTGCCGTCTCCCCTCTCCGTCCTGGCCCGTCTGCTCCCCCTGCGGACCCCTCTGCCCCCCTATCCCTCGCTCCACCTGACCCCGCAGCTGGTGCTGTCCCCACTGTCCCCCGCCACCCGGCGATCCCGCCTCGCCTCTCTGCTCCCCCGGTCCCTCAGCCCGCGTCCCCTCTCCCACCACTGGCTGTCCCAGTAGTCTCGCTCGAGCCGCCTCCAACTGTGTGAACAGCGTAGAGTCCTCCACCTTTACTGCGAAGCCCGCCTCGACCGCAAAGTCTCGAAGCATGTACTTCACCGTGTCGTGGATGGTAGTGGCGACCCCGTAGCGCGGGCACCGAACCGCGTGATGAGGCACCGTCATGTCGTCAATCGCCTGTCCGCAGGAGCACTGACCTGCAAGGGCTAACTGGGGGATAGGGAGACCAAGACGAGAAGATGAAGACGCCTGCCACAGCGCCTCCGGGATGCGCAGTGGGTCAGCGTACGGCACCGACGTCAACCACGCCCCTGCACCTGCGCCCTGAAGGGAAGTCAAACGGGCAAGGTGCAAGGGAGAGGCGTGACGGGCACGCACGGCCTCCAAGGCATGCGCCTCCAGAAGACGGCTCGCTCCTGCAAAAAGGGAATCGGGGGAGGCAGAAGCGCAAGAGGGCCAGGGGGGAAGGAGAGAGAGAACGTCAGGTGGGAGACCCTCTAGCGCCGTCTGCAGAGCCCGGTCGATCTGCCCTGGCTCACCTGAAGCGAAGCTCTGCCGAAACGCCTCGCCACACGCAGGGAGAGAACAGAGAATGGGAGCACACTGCACCCAGGAGCACACGAAACTCACCGGGGCAATGCGTGCCATGCGACGAATGCCGAAACCCCCGAGACGGATGGGGAGGAAGATCTGGTCTAGGGCGGCCTCTCGGACGTCCTCGCGACAAGCCCAGGTCCCTGAAGCTAAAAGCTGCTGAAATGTCTCTCCCAGGCGTGCGTCCCACCGTGTAAAACTAGAGATCACTGCGGGCAAAGGAGGGACGGTCCTCGACAGGTACTGCGGACGAGTGCTGACACACGCCGACAGAAGGCGGGCAGCTGTCTGGGGCTGGCGCAACCTCGGAAGCCAAGGTAGCACCCGCCCCATCCTCTCGAGACGATCCGGGAGACTCTGCTCCACGAACGAAACGGTGCCTACCGGTACGCCTGTCACGGTGAGCCCTCGGCGTGCGACCTCGATCCCTAGGCCCGTGAAGGCCTCCAGATCCCTGGACAGAAAGGACTCTGTCTGGTAGACGAGGCACTTGTGCGGCTGGGCTGCAAGGCCCATCTCGCCCAAGCGCCTCACGATCTCGGCAAAGTGGTGCAGCACCCTGTCTGGGGGACCTAGCACGTACGTGTCATCGGCGTACGACCAGAGCTGGACATCCCCCTCCACCAGAACCGGCTCCAAAGCAAGACGCTGTGTCAGAGCGTACAAGAAGGGGCTGAGAGGGTCTCCCTGGCGAGTGCCCCGCTCCGAGTGCATCGTGACCACTCCCGTGCCTGACCTGTAGTGGAGATCCGAGGGCGTCCCGTAGAAGAGGCCGATGAAGGGGATCAGGCACTGGAACTCCGGGCTGGCCTGCAGCGCCTGGAACATCCTGTCTCGGTGGAAAGAGTTAAAGGCGTTCGCCACGTCTAGCTGCAGGACCACCCAGTCTGGGTGGTCAGCCAGAGCGCGGCGGACGCCTCTAACTACGACCTCTGTCCCGCACGTAACCCCCACCCCAAACTGCTGTGACGCCAAGAAGACCCTCGCCATCTGGTCACGTAGCTGGAGACAGACTGCACGAGAAAGAATGCGGACCAAGACCTCGCCGATGGCAATCGGCCGAACATCCATGTTCGACTTCGCTAGAGCCACGAGGGTGGAAGACGCTAGCAAGGAGCGCGTAGCTGGAGCGCAACGGCCTCGGAGCCACTGCTGGTACACGGCCAGGAGGAAATGGAGACTCTGGGGGAAAGCTAGGAAAGTGTCTCGCAGGTGCTCAGCGACCCAACCGGACGGTCCTCCCGAAGAGCCCCGCGGAGCTGTGAAAATCGCGCGGCGTAAGTGGTCCACCGAGAGCACGAGAGGGGACCCCTGGAAGCCAGACTGCCAAGCTGGGGTCGGCCTCTCCGCGTTGGGGTGCTTCGACTGCAGGCGCTGTATCGTCCCCTGTGTATCTGGGGCTGCCTCCGCGGACTCGAGAGCCGCGCACGCCCGTGAGGTCTCATTGCACGCTGCCAGACGTAGGCAACGTGCGATGCGGCGCTCATCTGCTGTAGAGGGATCGGTGGCGGTGCGTGACCGGTGACCTGTGCGCCGAGGAAGGGGTGTGCGACGGCCTAGTGCATCTGAGACTAGCTCAGCCCACTCACCTCGACCAAAGCGGGAGATGCGCGTTGCAGTGGCAGCCGTGTGCGAGCGGTCGGGTGGCGTCGCTGGAACAAGGAAAAGAGTCGGCGCTGCAGCGAGGAGGAAGGTAGGGCCAGCAGCCTCCGGGTCCTGGGCAATGCGGACTAGGATCGCACTGAGGACGTCGAGATATCCTCCGCGGACCCTCTCCGGGACACGTCGGAGAGGGCGTGCATGGATACGCTCGGGCGAGAAGTACTCTGTCCAGTCCACCGAGTCGAGCGTCTGCCACTGTGCGTCGGTGAACTGTATCCCGGTCGCACGGGGCTGTGAGAGGGAAGGGATGATCGAGGCGGTGTCCTGGGCAGCCTGCGCCCTGCGAGCCGCGTCCGCAGGATGGCAGAAGGGAAAGTGGTGCTGGAGCGCGCGTCGGTTCGCGAGAGAGCTCCTGCAGGTGGGGCAACTCACGACCTGGTCGGGTGATGTCGCCGTGTCGGCGGGGTCAATCGGGGCCGTGGCGTCGGAACTGGCTGTAGAGGGGACCCCGTGGGCGGCCTGAGCTCCGAGAGGATCGCCTGGGATGAGGGGAGGCGACGACTCACCAACCCCGTGCATGGGGGTGTCAGCGAAGATAGAGGTGGTGTCGCACAGGATAGGGCCGGGCCTCGTGCCGGAACCGGTGTCGAAGCTGGGGAGGGGGGACGTGGGGGTGAGCCTGAAGTGTGTGCCGTGGTGTGCTCCTGCCCCTCGGCGAGGTGCGGTTCAAGTGACGGCTCTGCTACCCCAGGCGGAGGGGTCTCGGTAGGGGCGGATGCCTCATCCCTACTGCTGGTGACCTCCTGCGCCACGGGCTGAACGGGGGGAGGCGCCACCCCATCTAGGTGCGCGTGACACGGCCTCTGAACCTGGTCCGTCTCCATTGGGGTCGGGAGTGACGCGCCTGGCTGAGTGGCAGGGGGGATAAAAGAAGGGACAGACCGGGTGACCTCCGCATACGTCCGGGTCCGGTCCTGTGGGACTGGGAGGGTGGGGGCAGCCGGAGAGCTGCTCGGGCGGTGTATCGCCAGCAAATCTGAAATGCCAGCCCTCACCTCCTCTGGGGTCTCGAAAACCTGCCTGCCTGTAGGTGAGAGTAGGAGGGCTGGCAGGGTAGAGGGTGGAGTGGGGCTTGCTGGCTGAGCGGAGCTCGGGTGTGGACCCTGCCCTAGAAGGCCCCCTTGGCCCTCCCCAATCACCATGGGTTGCGGTAGGGGGTCGTCGACATGGAAGGGGTGGGAGGGATGGGAGGGGGAGTCGGTGGCGTCTTCCATGGGCGCATCCCTCAACCCGACGGCCTCCATCCCCGTAGCGATCGCGGCCGCCGCCACCTGGGAGGGGGACACAGCAAGGGAGGGGCAGAATGGGGGAGAGTGGGCTGGTCCGCTCCCATGAGCCTGGGGCGCAAGCCCTTGCGGGTGGGTCTCGGCTGCCTGGGGGGGGTGGTGTGAGGTGGGCAGCCTGTTGGGTGGGCGTGTTGGGGCTGTGCGGCGACTCGGGTGGTTTGGGTGCCTGTAGTGTGTGGGAGAGGGATTTGGCCGCAGAGATGCTTCAACCTCCGAGATGTGTGTACTACCGGGTGGGGGGGGGCCTGGTGGAGGGGGGGGTAGTGGGCCGGTAGGGGGTGGCTGGGTGTTGGTAGGGGTCGGGGAGCATGGCTCCTCTAGGAAGGCCAGAGCCCTGGCTGCTCCACGTGGTGCTCTAAGGAGCCCCTGAGGGTGGGGGCAGAGGTGTGCTGCCCTTGGGGGTGAGGGGAGGAGTGAGGGAAGGGGCGGGGAGGGGTGAGAGGTGAGAGAAGGGGTGCCCTCGGGTGACTCTGCTCTTGTCGCACCCGCGTGCTCTCCCGGTGGGCCGCCTGCAACCGTGGGGTCAGGGGTTGGGGACGGAGAGGGGGGCTGGCCATGGAGCAACGTGGGGGTCGGGGAGCACGGCTCCGCCAAGAAGGCCAGGGCCTTGGCTGCCCCCCTGGATACTACCGGGACCTGAGGGTGGGGGTGGGGAAATGGTGCTCCTGGGGGTGGGTGGGCTGGAGGACGGGAGGTGAGGATGGGGGCTCCCTCGTGTGGCTCTGTCCTCAAGGTCTCCCCCAGCCCCTCCATCGGTCCTTCTGCTAGCATGTGGACGGGCATGGGGGGTAGAGGGGGAACCTCGACGTGAGGCTGCAGGGGGGCCGGGTCGGCCTCACCGTCAGGCGTGAGGTATTGGGCCAGTGGCCCGTCAATGTGCATCACATCCTCTCCCTCATCCTCCTCTATCGCTATCACATCCCCCTCTTCCATGCCCACCCCGGTCGGGACCACACTCACCTCTCCTTCCCCTGTTGCCCCTATGTCCCCCGAGCCCACCCCGCCTGCTGCCGCTTTACTGCTAGCCCCTTTTGCGGTCTCTGCCGGCCCTGCTGTGTGTTTCCTCGCATTTGCTGCGGCCCCTGCCGCCCCTACTGGCCGTGCTATGGCCCTCCCTGCTGCTTCAGCTGCAGCCTCACCATCTGCCTTTGAGGCCACTGCTGTCCCTTCTCCCACTCTAGCCCCTGCCGTACCCTCTCTTGCTACAACCGAGGCAGCACTCTCCCTCACACCAGTCCCCGTTACCCCCTTCCCCGCTGCACCCGTAGCACCTCCCCCTGTACCGGCCCCCACTGTGGCCTCTGTCGCTCCTGCTGCAGTCCTTGCAGCCTCGACTGCTGCAGTCTGTAAAACCTCACCTGCCGTAATCTGCTCAGCCTCACCAGCCGCGGTCCCTGCAGCCTTGCCTGCCGCGGTCCCTGCAGCCTCACGTGCAGCAGTCCCTGCAGCCTCACCTGCTGCAGTCCCTGCGGCCTCACCTGCTGCAGTCTGTGCGGCCTCACCTGCTAGAATCTGCTCAACCTCAACTGCTGCGGCTATTTCAGCCTCACCTGCTGCGCTCCCTGCGGCCTCACCTGCCCTGGTCCCGCCTGCAGCCTCATCCGCTGTGGTCCCTGCAGCCTCACCTGCTGCAGTCCCTGCGGCCTCACCTATTGCAGTCCCTGCGACCTCACCAGCTGTAGCCTGTGCAGCCTCACCTGCTAGAGTCTGCCCAACCTTACATGCTGCAGCCCTCGCAGCCTCACCTGCTGCGTCCGCCGCAGCCTCACCTGCTGCGGCCCCTGCAGCCCCGCCTGCTGCGCTCCCCGCAGCCTCGCCTGCTGCGCTCCCTGAAGCCTCGCCTGCTGCGCTCCCTGCGGCCTCACCTGCTGCGCTCTCTGCAGCCTCCCCTGCTGCGCTCCCTACAGCCTCACCTACTGCGCTCTCTGCGGCTTCACCTGCCATGGTCCCTCCTGCAGCCTCACCCGTTGTGATCCCTGCAGCCACACCTGCTGTGGTCTGTGCGGCCTCGCCTGGTGCGGTCCCTATAGCCTCCTCTGCTGCGGTTCCCCCAGCCGACACAGCTGCAGGTTCTGTGGCCCCTACTCCTGCAAAACCTGTCTCCATGGCCTCTGCCCTTTGCCTGGCCAGAGTCACGGTCCCTGCCGCCCCTTCCCGTGCAGCCTCTGCCGCCCTTTCCCGTGCAGCCGCTGCTGCCCCTTCCCTTGCAGCCTCTGCTGCCCTTTCCTCTGCAACCTCTGCTGCCCCTTCCCCCACACCCCCCATTGCCCCTTCTTGTGCAGCCTTTGCTGCCCCATCCTCTGCAGCCTCTGCTGCTCCTTTGCACACACATTCACTTACCCCTTCCCGTGCAGTGTTAGCTGCAAGTTCCCCCCTGGCTCTGCCCCCTCCCGCTTCTATGTGCTTGGGGGTGCTAGTAGGATTAAGTGTTTTCACAAGTAATCTGGTTTACCTCCCGGGAAGTCCTCGTGTTGTACCCATTTATGCCCCTTGCTCGGCACGTGCCGGGGGAGGGGCAAGCGGGAAAAAGAAAGGACGATTTTAGCGCGTCCGATTCTTTTCTTTTCGTTTTTTTGCCCAAACAACGACCCAGCGGGGTGGGGGGCCCCCGGGGAGGCTTGCCCATGCGAAGAAACGCCCCGTGCGCACCACCGTTGGGCGGTTGGAAGCCGCACACGGTCGCGGGGGGTGGAGAGCGGAAACGGGCAGCCGGGGGAGGGTGGGGGCGGTTGGATGGGACTTGGGGTGTACGGGGGGCAGGGGAGTTGAGGGGGCAAGGGGAGGGGCAGCAACGGGCAGGGGCTGGGCCAACTGAGGGCACGGAAAAGGGGCGGGCAGAGGGTGAGCAGAGGGGCGAGCGATGCAAGGGTGGCACTATAGGGGGGAAACCAGTTGCACGGAGGTGGGAGGTGAGGGGCGTGCGAGGGGGTGGGAAAGGGGCAGGGAGGGGCAGAATGGGAGGATGTACGTGGGGGGGTGGGGGAGGGGAGTGTGCGTGTGTGTGTGTGTGAGAAAGAGAGAGAGAGAGAGAGAGAGAGAGAGAGAGAGAGAGAGGGAGGGGGGGATTGAAGGGTGGGAGGGGGGCTGGTCGTGGGGATGGGCTGATGGTGGTAAGAGGGCAGCAGGGATGGGGAGAAGGGAGCGTAACGAGGGGAGAGCAAAGGGCAGGGGGGGAGGAAGGGAGGGGCAGGGAGGGAAGAGGCTGAACGTACAAAGGGGGGAAACGAGGGGCATGGATGATAGGAAACGAGGGCAGGGGTGTGGGAAATCAAGGGCAGGGAGGAGAGAAGCAATGGGTGAGGGGAAAACAAGGGAGGGGCAGACGGGGGGCAGGGAGGGAAGAAACGTGGGGCAGGGAGGGGAGAAGCCAAAGACAGGGGCATGGGCAGGCGGGGGCAGGGAGGGAGCAAAGGAGAGGCACGGAGAAAGAAAGGGAGGCGCGGGGAGGGGAGAAACCGGGCGTGGGGGGGGCGGAAAATGAGGGGCAGGGCGGGGAGGAGGGAGGGGCAGGGAGGGGAGAAGCTGAGCACACGGAGGGGGGAAAGGTGAGGCAGGGAGGTAGGAAGCCAAGGACAAGGGGGGGGAGAGTGGGGGGGGCAGGGAGAGGGGGGAGGTGGGGAGCGGGGAAAGGCGGCGAGGGGCAGGGAGGGGAGAAACCAAGCATAGGGGGGCGAGATACGAGGGGCAGGGTGCGGATTGAGGAGGGGCAGGGAGTGGAGTGGGTCGGCGAGGGGAAGGAAGAGGCGTGCAGCAGAGGAGGGGAGGGGGGAGGAGAAGGTAAAGGAGGGGAGCGCACGGGCGGGGAGGAGCGAATGGCGGGCGGTGGGAAACGGCGAGGGGGGGCAGGGAGGGTCAAAAGAGGCGGCAAGGGAGCGGGCACGCGGAGGGTAGGGGCGGGGGGGAGCGGATGGCATGAGGGGGCAGGGGGTGTGACTATGAAGGGGGGGACCCGGGCAAGGGGTGTGTAGCGGTCGGGGCACGAGGTTGACGTGGTACGATCATACCTCGGCTACTACGCCGGATCCCATCAGAACTCCGAAGCTAAGCGCCGGTGGGCGAGAGCAGTTATTCATTAATAGGGGAAGAGCAAATACAAGCCGAATGTAATGGTTTTTCCAAGACTAGGAAATTTCGACATAGCCTTATCGCTATGAGGACGGTATATATATTTTGTAGGAAAAGGGGGAAAGAAAGGAAAGGAAGGAAGGATGAAGGAGTAAGAAAAAGTGGTAGGGAAAAGAAGAGGGTGGTAGGAAGAGAAGGGAAGGATAGAAGAAGGGAACAGAAAGAGGGAGGTGGGAAGAGAAGAGGAGAAAGGGAGAGAGACTAAGGAGGAGGAAGCACCAAAGGACCAAAACACGGCAGCAACCCGCACGACCGCACGGGCACAGCGTTTCAAGCACAGCCACTATTGTTTTTTACACATATGCATCATATATATACTGCATATCAGCCACACTCTCGAAGCACCCTGTGACGTGGTGCCAAGTACCCTGCCCCGCACCCAGTGGGACTGGTGCAGGCATCCACCCGTCGTCGGATCCCCCTAACTGCCGCACCGCATGCTGGATCATGCATTGAGCCTGCGCGCGCTGCAGTGCAACGGAGAGGCGTGTAGTGAGTCCTGCCTCAAATATCCGTGCCGATCCGTCATCCCCCCCACCTCTATCCCTCCTCCGCTGTGCTATCCTCTTTGCGCAGAGCCCCAGAAACTGACGCAGCGGCTCACTCAAAAGGCCAAAGGTCTCCGCCACGCACGCGTAAAAGTGTGGTGCCGGCTGCAGCCCCTCTAAGTGCGGCCCCCAGTGCCTCAGCTTCTCCTGCACCCGTCTAGCTGCTGCCACTCCAATCTGTGTGGGGGTCGCCCGTCTCAGCTGCACGTTCCCCTCGCGCTATGGATCCGCTATGGAGACATCCACAAGAACCATCAGACCCTGGCCAACGTCGCGGCAGGTGAGGTCTGGGATGCGGGAGGCGGTGCCTACACGGCCTGTGCGTCCGACTGGTCCCTGCTGTTGCGCTGGCTGCTGCCTTGTCTGGTCCCTTGGTGCCTCCTCTCCAATCGTCTCTCTCCCCCTCTCCTCTCCTCCATCCACCTGTCCTCTCCCCTCCCCCTCTCTACCCTCCCCCAACCCTCCCGACCCCCCTGCTCCATCCCCTGCTGCCTCTCTCACTCCCTGGCCCTCCCCTCCCAATCCCGCTGCCCCTCCTGTACCTCCGTCCGCTCTCTGCTGCTCCCGCCCCTGCCCCACCCCCGAGGCCGAACCTGGAGGCGCGGCGCCCTGGGCCCGCGGCCTCCCCTGGCTCTCCTGCTGCTGCCTGTGCCGTCTCCCCTCTCCGTCCTGGCCCGTCTGCTCCCCCTGCGGACCCCTCTGCCCCCCTATCCCTCGCTCCACCTGACCCCGCAGCTGGTGCTGTCCCCACTGTCCCCCGCCACCCGGCGATCCCGCCTCGCCTCTCTGCTCCCCCGGTCCCTCAGCCCGCGTCCCCTCTCCCACCACTGGCTGTCCCAGTAGTCTCGCTCGAGCCGCCTCCAACTGTGTGAACAGCGTAGAGTCCTCCACCTTTACTGCGAAGCCCGCCTCGACCGCAAAGTCTCGAAGCATGTACTTCACCGTGTCGTGGATGGTAGTGGCGACCCCGTAGCGCGGGCACCGAACCGCGTGATGAGGCACCGTCATGTCGTCAATCGCCTGTCCGCAGGAGCACTGACCTGCAAGGGCTAACTGGGGGATAGGGAGACCAAGACGAGAAGATGAAGCCGCCTGCCACAGCGCCTCCGGGATGCGCAGTGGGTCAGCGTACGGCACCGACGTCAACCACGCCCCTGCACCTGCGCCCTGAAGGGAAGTCAAACGGGCAAGGTGCAAGGGAGAGGCGTGACGGGCACGCACGGCCTCCAAGGCATGCGCCTCCAGAAGACGGCTCGCTCCTGCAAAAAGGGAATCGGGGGAGGCAGAAGCGCAAGAGGGCCAGGGGGGAAGGAGAGAGAGAACGTCAGGTGGGAGACCCTCTAGCGCCGTCTGCAGAGCCCGGTCGATCTGCCCTGGCTCACCTGAAGCGAAGCTCTGCCGAAACGCCTCGCCACACGCAGGGAGAGAACAGAGAATGGGAGCACACTGCACCCAGGAGCACACGAAACTCACCGGGGCAATGCGTGCCATGCGACGAATGCCGAAACCCCCGAGACGGATGGGGAGGAAGATCTGGTCTAGGGCGGCCTCTCGGACGTCCTCGCGACAAGCCCAGGTCCCTGAAGCTAAAAGCTGCTGAAATGTCTCTCCCAGGCGTGCGTCCCACCGTGTAAAACTAGAGATCACTGCGGGCGAAGGAGGGACGGTCCTCGACAGGTACTGCGGACGAGTGCTGACACACGCCGACAGAAGGCGGGCAGCTGTCTGGGGCTGGCGCAACCTCGGAAGCCAAGGTAGCACCCGCCCCATCCTCTCGAGACGATCCGGGAGACTCTGCTCCACGAACGAAACGGTGCCTACCGGTACGCCTGTCACGGTGAGCCCTCGGCGTGCGACCTCGATCCCTAGGCCCGTGAAGGCCTCCAGATCCCTGGACAGAAAGGACTCTGTCTGGTAGACGAGGCACTTGTGCGGCTGGGCTGCAAGGCCCATCTCGCCCAAGCGCCTCACGATCTCGGCAAAGTGGTGCAGCACCCTGTCTGGGGGACCTAGCACGTACGTGTCATCGGCGTACGACCAGAGCTGGACATCCCCCTCCACCAGAACCGGCTCCAAAGCAAGACGCTGTGTCAGAGCGTACAAGAAGGGGCTGAGAGGGTCTCCCTGGCGAGTGCCCCGCTCCGAGTGCATCGTGACCACTCCCGTGCCTGACCTGTAGTGGAGATCCGAGGGCGTCCCGTAGAAGAGGCCGATGAAGGGGATCAGGCACTGGAACTCCGGGCTGGCCTGCAGCGCCTGGAACATCCTGTCTCGGTGGAAAGAGTTAAAGGCGTTCGCCACGTCTAGCTGCAGGACCACCCAGTCTGGGTGGTCAGCCAGAGCGCGGCGGACGCCTCTAACTACGACCTCTGTCCCGCACGTAACCCCCACCCCAAACTGCTGTGACGCCAAGAAGACCCTCGCCATCTGGTCACGTAGCTGGAGACAGACTGCACGAGAAAGAATGCGGACCAAGACCTCGCCGATGGCAATCGGCCGAACATCCATGTTCGACTTCGCCAGAGCCACGAGGGTGGAAGACGCTAGCAAGGAGCGCGTAGCTGGAGCGCAACGGCCTCGGAGCCACTGCTGGTACACGGCCAGGAGGAAATGGAGACTCTGGGGGAAAGCTAGGAAAGTGTCTCGCAGGTGCTCAGCGACCCAACCGGACGGTCCTCCCGAAGAGCCCCGCGGAGCTGTGAAAATCGCGCGGCGTAAGTGGTCCACCGAGAGCACGAGAGGGGACCCCTGGAAGCCAGACTGCCAAGCTGGGGTCGGCCTCTCCGCGTTGGGGTGCTTCGACTGCAGGCGCTGTATCGTCCCCTGTGTATCTGGGGCTGCCTCCGCGGACTCGAGAGCCGCGCACGCCCGTGAGGTCTCATTGCACGCTGCCAGACGTAGGCAACGTGCGATGCGGCGCTCATCTGCTGTAGAGGGATCGGTGGCGGTGCGTGACCGGTGACCTGTGCGCCGAGGAAGGGGTGTGCGACGGCCTAGTGCATCTGAGACTAGCTCAGCCCACTCACCTCGACCAAAGCGGGAGATGCGCGTTGCAATGGCAGCCGTGTGCGAGCGGTCGGGTGGCGTCGCTGGAACAAGGAAAAGAGTCGGCGCTGCGGCGAGGAGGAAGGTAGGGCCAGCAGCCTCCGGGTCCTGGGCAATGCGGACTAGGATCGCACTGAGGACGTCGAGATATCCTCCGCGGACCCTCTCCGGGACACGTCGGAGAGGGCGTGCATGGATACGCTCGGGCGAGAAGTACTCTGTCTTGTCCACCGAGTCGAGCGTCTGCCACTGTGCGTCGGTGAACTGTATCCCGGTCGCACGGGGCTGTGAGAGGGAAGGGATGATCGAGGCGGTGTCATGGGCAGCCTGCGCCCTGCGAGCCGCGTCCGCAGGATGGCAGAAGGGAAAGTGGTGCTGGAGCGCGCGTCGGTTCGCGAGAGAGCTCCTGCAGGTGGGGCAACTCACGACCTGGTCGGGTGATGTCGCCGTGTCGGCGGGGTCAATCGGGGCCGTGGCGTCGGAACTGGCTGTAGAGGGGACCCCGTGGGCGGCCTGAGCTCCGAGAGGATCGCCTGGGATGAGGGGAGGCGACGACTCACCAACCCCGTGCATGGGGGGTGTCAGCGAAGATAGAGGTGGTGTCGCACAGGATAGGGCCGGGCCTCGTGCCGGAACCGGTGTCGAAGCTGGGGAGGGGGGACGTGGGGGTGAGCCTGAAGTGTGTGCCGTGATGTGCTCCTGCCCCTCGGCGAGGTGCGGTTCAAGTGACGGCTCTGCTACCCCAGGCGGAGGGGTCTCGGTAGGGGCGGATGCCTCATCCCTACTGCTGGTGACCTCCTGCGCCACGGGCTGAACGGGGGGAGGCGCCACCCCATCTAGGTGCGCGTGACACGGCCTCTGAACCTGGTCCGTCTCCATTGGGGTCGGGAGTGACGCGCCTGGCTGAGTGGCAGGGGGGATAAAAGAAGGGACAGACCGGGTGACCTCCGCATACGTCCGGGTCCGGTCCTGTGGGACTGGGAGGGTGGGGGCAGCCGGAGAGCTGCTCGGGCGGTGTATCGCCAGCAAATCTGAAATGCCAGCCCTCACCTCCTCTGGGGTCTCGAAGACCTGCCTGCCTGTAGGTGAGAGTAGGAGGGCTGGCAGGGTAGAGGGTGGAGTGGGGCTTGCTGGCTGAGCGGAGCTCGGGTGTGGACCCTGCCCTAGAAGGCCCCCTTGGCCCTCCCCAATCACCATGGGTTGCGGTAGGGGGTCGTCGACATGGAAGGGGTGGGAGGGATGGGAGGGGGAGTCGGTGGCGTCTTCCATGGGCGCATCCCTCAACCCGACGGCCTCCATCCCCGTAGCGATCGCGGCCCGCCGCCACCTGGGAGGGGGACACAGCAAGGGAGGGGCAGAATGGGGGAGAGTGGGCTGGTCCGCTCCCATGGCCCTGTGGAGGTGTAGGAGCGGGGCGGGAGTGTGGGTTTGGTGGTCGGGCTGTAGCGGTAGGGCCTGGTAAGGGTTCAACAGGATGCGGGGTGGGGAGGGGCTCTTGGTGGGGGAGGGAGGGAGGGGGGAGTACGTGGGCTGACCCTCTGCCTCCTCTGCCCCTGTTCTTCCGCCGGCGGCCAACCCGGTTGTCCGCGCCTGTTTGTGAAGGAAGGGGGGGCTGTGGGGCCAAAGGGGTGGTTGGAGGGAGGATGGGTGGTTCGCCGGGCGGGGGGTGCTCTGTGTGCATCCCCTCTCTCCTCGAGACATCCCCCTCCGTGGGGACAGATCAGGCAGGCTGTGTGTGGGGGGTGATGGCTGCCCAACGGGGCCACTCGTGGGGAACCCGGCCGGGAGGGGGGGTTGAAGGTGGGGGTCGAGGGGCTGGGCCAGTGTGGAGGTTAGAGCGAGGTACAAACGGTGGGGGGAGAGGGGTTTGTGTGGGCTCTGTGGTGGCCTCTCCTGTGGGCCCCTCTACCCGGGTGCCGCCGCTCCCATGAGCCTGGGGCGCAAGCCCTTGCGGGTGGGTCTCGGCTGCCTGGGGGGGGTGGTGTGAGGGGGGCAGCCTGTTGGGTGGGCGTGTTGGGGCTGTGCGGCGACTCGGGTGGTTTGGGTGCCTGTAGCGTGTGGGAGAGGGATTTGGCCGCAGAGATGCTTCAACCTCCGAGATGTGTGTACTACCGGGTGGGGGGGGGGCTGGTGGAGGGGGGGGTAGTGGGCCGGTAGGGGGTGGCTGGGTGTTGGTAGGGGTCGGGGAGCATGGCTCCTCTAGGAAGGCCAGAGCCCTGGCTGCTCCACGTGGTGCTCTAAGGAGCCCCTGAGGGTGGGGGCAGAGGTGTGCTGCCCTTGGGGGTGAGGGGAGGAGTGAGGGAAGGGGCGGGGAGGGGTGAGAGGTGAGAGAAGGGGTGCCCTCGGGTGACTCTGCTCTTGTCGCACCCGCGTGCTCTCCCGGTGGACCGCCTGCAACCGTGGGGTCAGGGGTTGGGGACGGAGAGGGGGGCTGGCCATGGAGCAACGTGGGGGTCGGGGAGCACGGCTCCGCCAAGAAGGCCAGGGCCTTGGCTGCCCCCCTGGATACTACCGGGACCTGAGGGTGGGGGTGGGGAAATGGTGCTCCTGGGGGTGGGTGGGCTGGAGGACGGGAGGTGAGGATGGGGGCTCCCTCGTGCGGCTCTGTCCTCAAGGTCTCCCCCAGCCCCTCCATCGGTCCTTCTGCTAGCATGTGGACGGGCATGGGGGGTAGAGGGGGAACCTCGACGTGAGGCTGCACGGGGGCCGGGTCGGCCTCACCGTCAGGCGTGAGGTATTGGGCCAGTGGCCCGTCAATGTGCATCACATCCTCTCCCTCATCCTCCTCTATCGCTATCACATCCCCCTCTTCCGTGCCCACCCCGGTCGGGACCACACTCACCTCTCCTTCCCCTGTTGCCCCTATGTCCCCCGAGCCCACCCCGCCTGCTGCCGCTTTACTGCTAGCCCCTTTTGCGGTCTCTGCCGGCCCTGCTGTGTGTTTCCCCGCGTTTGCTGCGGCCCCTGCCGCCCCTACTGGCCGTGCTATGGCCCTCCCTGCTGCTTCAGCTGCAGCCTCACCTTCTGCCTTTGAGGCCACTGCTGACCCTTCTCCCACTCTAGCCCCTGCCGTACCCTCTCTTGCTACAACCGAGGCAGCACTCTCCCTCACACCAGTCCCCGTACCCCCTTCTCCGCTGCACCCGTAGCACCTCCCCCTGTACCGGCCCCCACTGTGGCCTCTGTCGCTCCTGCTGCAGTCCTTGCAGCCTCGACTGCTGCAGTCTGTAAAATTTCGCCTGCCGTAATCTGATCAGCCTCACCAGCCGCGGTCCCTGCAGCCTTGCCTGCCGCGGTCCCTGCAGCCTCACGTGCAGCAGTCCCTGCAGCCTCACCTGCTGCAGTCCCTGCGGCCTCCCCTGCTGCAGTCTGTGCGGCCTCACCTGCTAGAATCTGCTCAACCTCAACTGCTGCGGCTATTTCAGCCTCACCTGCTGTGCTCCCTGCGGCCTCACCTGCCCTGGTCCCGCCTGCAGCCTCATCCGCTGTGGTCCCTGCAGCCTCACCTGCTGCAGTCCCTGCGGCCTCACCTATTGCAGTCCCTGCGACCTCACCAGCTGTAGCCTGTGCAGCCTCACCTGCGAGAGTCTGCCCAACCTTACATGCTGCAGCCCTCGCAGCCTCACCTGCTGCGTCCGCCGCAGCCTCACCTGCTGCGGCCCCTACAGCCCCGCCTGCTGCGCTCCCCGCAGCCTCGCCTGCTGCGCTCCCTGCAGCCTCGCCTGCTGCGCTCCCTGCGGCCTCACCTGCTGCGCTCTCTGCAGCCTCCCCTGCTGCGCTCCCTACAGCCTCACCTACTGCGCTCTCTGCGGCTTCACCTGCCATGGTCCCTCCTGAAGCCTCACCCGTTGTGATCCCTGCAGCCACACCTGCTGTGGTCTGTGCGGCCTCGCCTGGTGCGGTCCCTATAGCCTCCTCTGCTGCGGTTCCCCCAGCCGACACAGCTGCAGGTTCCGTGGCCCCTACTCCTGCAAAACCTGTCTCCATGGCCTCTGCCCTTTGCCTGGCCAGAGTCACGGTCCCTGCCGCCCCTTCCCGTGCAGCCTCTGCCGCCCTTTCCCGTGCAGCCGCTGCTGCCCCTTCCCTTGCAGCCTCTGCTGCCCTTTCCTCTGCAACCTCTGCTGCCCCTTCCCCCACAACCCCCATTGCCCCTTCCCGTGCAGCCTTTGCTGCCCCATCCTCTGCAGCCTCTGCTGCTCCTTCGCACACACATTCACTTACCCCTTCCCGTGCAGTGTTAGCTGCAAGTTCCCCCCTGGCTCTGCCCCCTCCCGCTTCTATGTGCTTGGGGGTGCTAGTAGGATTAAGTGTTTTCACAAGTAATCTGGTTTGCGAATGGGAAGTAGCGAGAGAGTTGGGGGATCTCTCCACTTGGCATGCATGGGTGCCGTCCCCGCTGTCACCTGAAGGGGGGGTAGGCTGGGATGGGGCCGCGGGGGGTAGGGCGCGGTTTTGAGCGTGCTGGCTCCTCCTTGTGTATTTCCTCCAGTGGGGCTTGGCGTTCCTCTGTTCCATCCTCTTCAAGGGTACGCTTCTGGCCCCTAGGATCAGATTGTGTGAGTGTTTTCGCTTGGTCAAGTGTGTGTTGTTTCTTCCTGACTGTTGAAGTGGGGGGAGTGGGAGAGTAGGGGGTGGCTCGGCTGCGGGACCTCCTAGATCGCCGAGGGGCTCCCGGGTCTGCCTTTTCCCCACTCGCGGGGTGCTGGGGCATTGTTACAGAGGCAGCATGCCTGGCGGTGGCGGCGTGAGTTGCTGGAGTTGGCTCAAGAGGGCGTCAAAGGGGGAAGGACTCCCTGGCAGAGGCCGGGGTGCGGGGGGTTAGCTTGGGGAAATGGAAAAAGGGTGGGGAAAGCGGTGCGCAGTGGGTGGAAGAGAGGGTAGAGGGGGCCTGACAGTTGGAGGGGATTGGGGCCCAAGGGGGGGGGCGGGCTGGGGGCCGGTTGAGAGGGGAAGTGTTGGCGGGCTGTAGTGGAGGTGGGGGGGCGGGGGTGATGTAGTGGTGGGTGAGCAGGGTGTGGGGACAGGTGGTGGGCCAGAGGTGGGGAGGGCAGGGCAGAATTCCACGGGAGGTGGGGGTGGGCAGGTGGAGCCAAGTGGGGGAGGAAGGGTGGGGAACAGAGAGGAAGGGGCAAAGGGTAGTGGGTAGTCGGGTTGGCGTGAGCCTGGTAGCGGGTAATGAGAAGGTTGGAGGGCGGGGGGTGAGAACGTGGGAGGGCCGAGAGGGCACCGAAAGGAGGCGCTGTGGTAAATGCAGAGAAAGATGGGGGGCCGGGAAACAGGGGACAGAGGGAATTGGGGAATTGATGAAGGGTGATACCTGCGGATGGGCGAGCCCCAGGGGGGGAGGAAATATGGAGGGTGTTGGAGAAGGGGGAGACTGGGGGGGGTTGGGGTAGGGTGTTGGAAGGCACAAGGGGCAGGAACAGGGGGTGCAGAGGTTGGCTGGGGGAGGGAGAGGCGGTCTGGTGCCGCGGAAAGGCGGACGGAGGTTGGGGACGGCACAGCACAGGGAGCAAAAGCAAGGGGTGTAGACCCTGGCTGGGGGTAGGAACGGCAGCGTGGAGTTAGGGAGAGGTAGAGGGAGGCTGGGGTAGGTGGCTGGATTGCGCAGGGAGCAGGGGCAGGGGGTGTAGAGATTGGATGGGGGTGGGAAAGGCGGCGTGGTGTCAGGTGGCGGCAGTTGGGTCCTCGGAGGGCCTGGCAGGGCATGATGCAGAGGTGCAGCCCACGCTGGATGCGGAAATAGCTGGGGGGAAAAGGGAGGCTGGAGGGGGAGGTACGGCTCGTAGAGGTGTGGGGGACAGAGTGGGAGTGGGGAAGGCAGGAGGGGGGGTGGAGGAGGGACGTTGTGGACAGGGGAGTGGGGGAACATGCGGGTGATGATAGGGGGAAGCCGGGGGGGGGGAGAAGGGGGAGGTGGTATGAAGTGGGCGAGGGTGACGCGCGGGCAGAGCGCGGCGGTACTAAGGGCAGGGAGACGGGGGGCTGGGGGGAGAAAGGCCTGCTTGGGGGCGTGGTGGGGGATAAGGGGAGAGTGGCGGTAATGCTGGTGGGCAAAAGGGGAGGGTGTGGTGTAGTATGATGAAACAGAATGGGGGGGTGGCGGACTGGATGGGGCCCTGGAGGGTTGGGAGAACAAGGTGTAAGCTGCCTTTCTGATTTTTCCTGGTTTTTTCCGATTCATATGAATTTCTTTTTTCTTTTCTTTTTTCCTTGAAGTTGTTTCCTCTTATTTCCTACGGTTTCCAGAGACAGGGCGGCCTCTGCTAGCTAAGCGCCGTTAGGGAAAGAGGTTAGGTGGCGGGGTGGCTAAAGCGTGCGTGTGAGGGGGAAAGGGGCGGGTGTGAGCAGAGAGGTGACTATGAGGGTGGCGACGGGGTAAGATTACGACGTGTGGGTGGCATGCACGAGTGCGCGACGAGGCATGGCAGGGTGGGAGTGAGCAAAGGGGGAGTGGGGCGGCTTGTGTGCCAAACGTGGGCGGCTAAAACGCTCTAGGCAGAAAACGCGCTTCGGGAGGCGCGCAAGGGGAGGGCTGTTTAATCGCTACGAACGTAGCAATTTCGCCTCCCTCCGCGCTGCCTTTCCCTGGCGGTGAGCGCCCCGTGCGCGGTTCCGTCTACGTCGCGGCTAGATTGAACGGGCGGGGAAAAAAAAAGAGTGCGTGACTAAGCGTGATAGGCGACGAGAAAGCGTGCTTGAAACGCGCGGCTCTTTGAATTAGGGTTTCGATAAAGAAGGGCGCACTGAAAGGGAAGGAAGAATGCTAACTACGGGCGGAAGCTAAGCTCAGTGACTTCGAGAGAGGGAAACCGCGGGAAGTGACTCGGTATTTGCTAATCGCTTCGAATAGCAAAGCCGTGGGCAGAAAAGAGCGGGGGGATAAGGGAGAGTGTCGAGAGAGGGGATGGGAGGGAACACCGTGTCTGGCGGAGTTGTGGTTGTGAGTCGCGCGCGCTGTTACACTCCGCGGGCGAACTTCGCGTCAACGCCCCACCTCCCGTTACACCGGCTGCAGCGCTGTCCGCAGCCCTTCCCGCGATGGCGGGGTCGAACGAGCGGTTCAGTAACACCCCGCGAGTTCCGTTTCCGAGACTCCTGAAGGGTCGCCGCGCGAAACTCGCGACCCCCGTCCCGTCGAACTCGACAGTCGAAACTAAAAAACTAACCGTTGGAAACGCTTATAACTATAACATAAACAACTATCACAATCACTTTGTCCTTAAGCAACTCGAAATAGTAGGTTTAGGAGGCTCCTTAGTAGGCAGCCATGGCTAGGTAAGCTAGGTCAAGGTAAGAGCGCCGGTGGGCGAGAGCAGTACTGGGCTGGGTGACCTCCCGGGAAGTCCCCGTATTGTACCCATTTATGCCCCTTGCTCGGCACGCGCCGGGGGAGGGGCAAGCGGGGAAAAAGAAAGGACGATTTTAGCGCGTCCGATTCTTTCATTTTCGTTTTTTTTGCCCAAACAACGACCCAGCGGGGTGGGGGGCCCCCGGGGAGGCTTGCCCGTGCGAAGAAACGCCCCGTGCGCACCACCGTTGGGCGGTTGGAAGCCGCACACGGTCGCGGGGGTGGAGAGCGGAAACGGGCAGCCGGGGGAGGGTGGGGGCGGTTGGATGGGACTTGGGGTGTACGGGGGGCAGGGGAGTTGAGGGGGCAAGGGGAGGGGCAGCAACGGGCAGGGGCTGGGCCAACTGAGGGCACGGAAAAGGGGCGGGCAGAGGGTGAGCAGAGGGGCGAGCGATGCAAGGGTGGCACCATAGGGGGGAAACCAGTTGCACGGAGGTGGGAGGTGAGGGGCGTGCGAGGGGGTGGGAAAGGGGCAGGGAGGGGCAGAATGGGAGGATGTACGTGGGGGGGTGGGGGAGGGGAGTGTGCGTGTGTGTGTGTGTGAGAAAGAGAGAGAGAGAGAGAGAGAGAGAGAGAGAGAGAGGGAGGGGGGGATTGAAGGGTGGGAGGGGGGCTGGTCGTGGGATGGCTGATGGTGGTAAGAGGGCAGCAGGGATGGGGAGAAGGGAGCGTAACGAGGGGAGAGCAAAGGGCAGGGGGGGAGGAAGGGAGGGGCAGGGAGGGAAGAGGCTGAACGTACAAAGGGGGGAAACGAGGGGCATGGATGATAGGAAACGAGGGCAGGGGTGTGGGAAATCAAGGGCAGGGAGGAGAGAAGCAATGGGTGAGGGGAAACAAGGAGGGGCAGACGGGGGGCAGGGAGGGAAGAAACGTGGGGCAGGGAGGGGAGAAGCCAAAGACAGGGGCATGGGCAGGCGGGGGCAGGGAGGGAGCAAAGGAGAGGCACGGGGAAAGAAAGGGAGGCGCGGGGAGGGGAGAAACCGGGCGTGGGGGGGGCGGAAAATGAGGGGCAGGGCGGGGAGGAGGGAGGGGCAGGGAGGGGAGAAGCTGAGCACACGGAGGGGGGAAAGGTGAGGCAGGGAGGTAGGAAGCCAAGGACAAGGGGGGGGAGAGTGGGGGGGCAGGGAGAGGGGGGAGGTGGGGAGCGGGGGAAAGGCGGCAAGGGGCAGGGAGGGGAGAAACCAAGCATAGGGGGGCGAGATACGAGGGGCAGGGTGCGGATTGAGGAGGGGCAGGGAGTGGAGTGGGTCGGCGATGGGGAAGGAAGAGGCGTGCAGCAGAGGAGGGGAGGGGGGAGGAGAAGGTAAAGGAGGGGAGCGCACGGGGCGGGAGGAGCGAATGGCGGGCGGTGGGAAACGGCGAGGGGGGGCAAGTGAGGGTCAAAAGAGGCGGCAAGGAGCGGGCACGCGGAGGGTAGGGGCGGGGGGAGCGGATGGCATGAGGGGGCAGGGGGTGTGACTATTGAAGGGGGGGACCCGGGCAAGGGGTGTGTAGCGGTCGGGGCACGAGGTTGACGTGGTACGATCATACCTCGGCTACTACGCCGGATCCCATCAGAACTCCGAAGCTAAGCGCCGGTGGGCGGAGAGCAGTTATTCATTAATAGGGGAAGAGAAAATACAAGCCGAATATAATGGTTTTTCCAAGACTAGGAAATTTCGACATAGCCTTATCGCTATGAGGACGGTATATATATTTTGTAGGAAAAGGGGGAAAGAAAGGAAAGGAAGGAAGGATGAAGGAGTAAGAAGAAGTGGTAGGGAAAAGAAGAGAAGGAGAAGAGGGTGGTAGGAAGAGAAGGGAAGGATAGAAGAAGGGAACAGAAAGAGGGAGGTGGGAAGAGAAGAGGAGAGAGGGAGAGAGACTAAGGAGGAGGAAGCACCAAAGGACCAAACACGGCAGCAACCCGCACGACCGCACGGGCACAGCGTTTCAAGCACAGCCACTATTGTTTTTACACATATGCATCATATATATACTGCATATCAGCCACACTCTCCGAAGCACCCCTGTGACGTGGTGCCAAGTACCCTGCCCCGCACCTAGTGGGACTGGTGCGGGCATCCACCCGTCGTCGGATCTCCCCTAACTGCGCATCCGCATGCTGGATCATGCATTGAGCCTGCGCGCGCTGCAGTGCAACGGAGAGGCGTGTAGTGAGTCCTGCCTCAAATATCCGTGCCGGATCCGTCATCCCCCCCACCTCTATCCCTCCTCCGCTGTGTATCTATCCTCTTTGCGCAGAGCCCCAGGAACTGACTCAGCGGCTCACTCAGAAGGCCAAGGTCTCCGCCACGCACGCGTAAAAGTGTGGTGCCGGCTGCAGCCCCTCTAAGTGCGGCCCCCAGTGCCGCAACTTCTCCTGCACCCGTCTAGCTGATGCCACTCCAATCTGTGTGGGGGTCGCCCGTCTCAGCTGCACGTTCCCCTCCCGCTGTGGATCCGCTATGGAGACATCCACAAGAACCATCAGACCCCTGGCCAACGTCGCGGCAGGTGAGGTCTGGGATGCGGGAGGCGGTGCCTACACGGCCTGTGCGTCCGACTGGTCCCTGCTGTTGCGCTGGCTGCTGCCCTGTCTGGTCCCTTGGTGCCTCCTCTCCGATCGTCTCTCTCCCCCTCTCCTCTCCTCCATCCACCTGTCCTCTCCCCTCCCCCTCTCTACCCTCCCCCAACCCTCCCGACCCCCCTGCTCCATCCCCTGCTGCCTCTCTCACTCCCTGGCCCTCCCCTCCCAATCCCGCTGCCCCTCCTGTACCTCCGTCCGCTCTCTGCTGCTCCCGCTCCTGCCCCTGAGGCCGAACCTGGAGGCGCGGCGCCCTGGGCCCGCGGCCTCCACTGGCTTTCCTGCTGCTGCCTGTGCCGTCTCCCCTCCCCGTCTGGCCCGTCTGCTCCCCCTGCCGTCCCCTCCGCCCACCTATCCCTCGCTCCACCTGACCCCGCAGCTGGTGCTGTCCCCACTGTCCCCCGCCACCCGGCCTGTCCCGCCTCGCCTCTCTGCTCCCCCGGTCCCTCAGCCCGCGTCCCCTCTCCCACCACTGGCTGTCCCAGTAGTCTCGCTCGAGCCGCCTCCAACTGTAGTGAACAGCGTAGAGTCCTCCACCTTTACCGCGAAGCCCGCCTCGACCGCAAAGTCTCGAAGCATGTACTTCACCGTGTCGTGGATGGTAGTGGCGACCCCGTAGCGCGGGCACCGAACCGCGTGATGAGGCACCGTCATGTCGTCAATCGCCTGTCCGCAGGAGCACTGACCTGCAAGGGCTAACTGGGGGATAGGGAGACCGAGACGAGGAAGATGAAGCCGCCTGCCACAGCGCCTCCGGGATGCGCAGTGGGTCAGCGTACGGCACCGACGTCAACCACGCCCCTGCACCTCCGCCCTGAAGGGAAGTCAAACGGGCAAGGTGCAAGGGAGAGGCGTGACGGGCACGCACGGCCTCCAAGGCCTGCGCCTCCAGAAGACGGCTCGCTCCTGCAAAAAGGGAATCGGGGAGGCAGAAGCGCAAGAGGGCCAGGGGGGAAGGAGAGAGAGAACGTCGGGTGGGAGACCCTCTAGCGCCGTCTGCAGAGCCCGGTCGATCTGCTCTGGCTCACCTGAAGCGAAGCTCTGCCGAAACACCTCGCCACACGCAGGAGAGAGAACAGAGAATGGGAGCACACTGCACCCAGGAGCACACGAAACTCACCGGGGCGATGCGTGCCATGCGACGAATGCCAAAACCCCCGAGACGGATGGGGAGGAAGATCTGGTCTAGGGCGGCCTCTCGGACGTCCTCGCGACAAGCCCAGGTCCGTGAAGCTAAAAGCTGCTGGAATGTCTCTCCCAGGCGTGCGTCCCACCGTGTAAAACTAGAGATCACTGCGGGCGAAGGAGGGACGGTCCTCGACAGGTACTGCGGACGAGTGCTGACACACGCCGACAGAAGGCGGGCAGCTGTCTGGGGCTGGCGCAACCTCGGAAGCCAAGGTAGCACCCGCCCCATCCTCTCGAGACGATCCCGGGAGACTCTGCTCCACAAACGAAACGGTGCCTACTGTACGCCTGTCACGGTGAGCCCTCGGCGTGCGACCTCGACCCCTAGGCCCGTGAAGGCCTCCAGATCCCTGGACAGAAAGGGACTCTGTCTGGTAGACGAGGCACTTGTGCGGCTGGGCTGCAAGGCCCATCTCGCCCAAGCGCCTCACGATCTCGGCAAAGTGGTGCAGCACCCTGTTGGGGACCTAGCACGTACGTGTCATCGGCGTACGACCAGAGCTGGACATCCCCCTCCACCAGAAACCGGCTCCAAAGCAAGACGCTGTGTCAGAGCGTACAAGAAGGGGCTGAGAGGGTCTCCCTGGCGAGTGCCCCGCTCCGAGTGCATCGTGACCACTCCCGTGCCTGACCTGTAGTGGAGATCCGAGGGCGTCCCGTAGAAGAGGCCGATGAAGGGATCAGCACTGAAACTCCGGGCTGGCCTGCAATGCCTGGAACATCCAGTCTCGGTGGAAGGAGTTAAAGGCATTCGCCACGTCTAGCTGTAGGACCACCCAGTCTGGGTGGTCAGCCAGAGCGCGGCGGACGCCTCTAACTACGACCTCTGTCCCGCACGTAACCCCCACCCCAAACTGCTGTGACGCCAAGAAGACCCTCGCCATCTGGTCACGCAGCTGGAGACAGACTGCACGAGAAAGAATGCGGACCAAAACCTCGCCGATGGCAATCGGACCGAACATCCATGTTCGACTTCGCCAGAGCCACGAGGGTGGAAGACGCTAGCAAGGAGCGCGTAGCTGGAGCGCAACGGCCTCGGAGCCACTGCTGGTACAACGGCCAGGAGGAAATGGAGACTCTGAGGGAAAGCTAGGAAAGTGTCTCGCAGGTGCTCAGCGACCCAACCGGACGGTCCTCCCGAAGAGCCCCGCGGAGCTGTGAAAATCGCGGTGCGTAAGTGATCCACCGAGAGCACGAGAGGGGACCCCTGGAAGCCAGACTGCCAAGCTGGGGTCGGCCTCTCCGCGTTGGGGTGCTTCGACTGCAGGCGCTGTATCGTCCCCTGTGTATCTGGGGCTGCCTCCGCGGACTCGAGAGCGCGCATACGCGCCCGTGAGGTCTCATTGCACGCTGCAGACGAAGGCACGTGCAATGCGGCGCTCATCTGCTGTAGAGGGATCGGTGGCGGTGCGTGACCGGTGACCTGTGCGCCGAGGAAGGGGTGTGCGACGGCCTAGTGCATCTGAGACTAGCTCAGCCCACTCACCTCGACCAAAGCGGGAGATGCGCGTTGCAATGGCAGCCGTGTGCGAGCGGTCGGGTGGCGTCGCTGGAACAAGGAAAAGAGTCGGCGCTGCAGCGAGGAGGAAGGTAGGGCCAGCAGCCTCCGGGTCCTGGGCAATGCGGACTAGGATCGCACTGAGGACGTCGAGATATCCTCCGCGGACCCTCTCCGGGATACGTCGGAGAGGGCGTGCGTGGATACGCTCGGGCGAGAAGTACTCTGTCCAGTCCACCGATTCGAGCGTCTGCCACTGTGCGTCGGTGAACTGTATCCCGGTCGCACGGGGCTGTGAGAGGGAAGGGATGATCGAGGCGGTGTCATGGGCAGCCTGCGCCCTGCGAGCCGCGTCCGCAGGATGGCAGAAGGGAATGTGGTGCTGGAGCGCGCGTCGGTTCGCGAGAGAGCTCCTGCAGGTGGGGCAACTCACGACCTGGTCGGGTGATGTCGCCGTGTCGGCGGGGTCAATCGGGGCCGTGGCGTCGGAACTGGCTGTAGAGGGGACCCCGTGGGCGGCCTGAGCTCCGAGAGGATCGCCTGGGATGAGGGGAGGAGACGACTCACCAGCCCCGTGCGGGGGGGGTGTCAGCGAAGATAGAGGTGGTGTCGCACAGGATAGGGCCGGGCCTCGTGCGGTACCCGCCGGGTGTCGAAGCTGGGGAGGGGGGACGTGGAGGTGAGCCTGAAGTGTGTGCCGTGGTGTGCTCCTGCCCCTCGGCGGGGTGCGGTTCAAGTGACGGCTCTGCTACCCCAGGCGGAGGGGTCTCGGTAGGGGCGGATGCCTCATCCCTACTGCTGGTGACCTCCTGCGCCACGGGGTGAACGGGGGGAGGCGCCACCCCATCTAGGGTGCGCGTGACACGGCCTCAGAACCTGGTCCGTCTCCATTGGGGTCGGGAGTGACGCGCCTGGCTGAGTGGCGGGGGGGAGAAAAGAAGGGACAGACCGGGTGACCTCCGCATACGTCCGGGTCCGGTCCTGTGGGACTGGAAGGGTGGGGGCAGCCGGAGAGCTGCTCGGGCGGTGTATCGCCAGCAAATCTGAAATGCCAGCCCTCACCTCCTCTGGGGTCTCGAAGACCTGCCTGCCTGTAGGTGAGAGTAGAGGGCTGGCAGGGTAGAGGGTGGGGTGGGGCTTGCTGGCTGAGCGGAGCTCAGGTGTGGACCCTGCCCTAGAAGGCCCCCTTGGCCCTCCCCAATCACCATGGGTTGCGGTAGGGGGTCGTCGACGTGGAAGGGGTGGGAGGGATGGGAGGGGGAGTCGGTGGCGTCTTCCATGGGCGCATCCCTCAACCCGACGGCCTCCATCCCAGTAACGATCGCGGCCGCCGCCACCTGGGAGGGGGACACAGCACGGGAGGGCAGAATGGGGGTGAGTGGGCTGGTCCGCTCCCATGGCCCTGTGGAGGTGCAGGAGCGGGGCGGGAGTGTAGGTTTGGTGGTCGGGCTGTAGAGGTAGGGCCTGGTAAGGGTTCAACGGGATGTGGGGTGGGGAGGGGCTCTTGGTGGGGGAGGGAGGGAGGGGGGAGTACGTGGGCTGACCCTCTGCCTCCTCTGCCCCTGTTCTTCCGCCGGCGGCCAACCTGGTTGTCCGCGCCTGTTTGTGAAGGAAGGGGGGCTGTGGGGCCAAAGGGGTGGTGGAGGGAGGATGGGTGGTTCGCCGGGCGGGGGGTGCTCTGTGTGCATCCCTCTCATCCTCGAAACATCCCCCTCCGTGGGAACAGATCGGGCAGGCTGTGTGTGGGGGGTGATGGCTGCCCAACGGGGCCACTCGTGG